TCTGGTGATAAGGGGGAACCCATAGGGGTACCCTCATTTTGTTTGTAGAAGGTGCCATTCCAAGTAAAGTAGGTGTTGGTGAGGCATTGCTTAACCAACGCAGGAACATCGGGGTCCAGTCCATGTTGGACCAGATCTTCGATTATTGTAATGGTATCAGGTACCGGGACATTAGTGAACAGAGAAACCACATCAAAGCTGACGAGGATATCGTCAGGAGACAGTACAATGTTCTTATTCAAACGGCTGCCCATTCCTCCTAGATTCGAGCTTTGATTTTTCATAAAACAGCCAACCCCCTCCAAAAAAATGTCTTTGCCCCCGGGTGCCTATTTATGTTAAATAATTAATGACTGCTCTGTGTTATCACCGCATCGTGCCGTTTTGACAATACAGTTATAATTAAATGATTAAAGTTTAAACAGCCCATAAAAAAGTGTAGTTACCGTATTTGGCAAAAAGGCACAGTGGTACATGATTCAATATTTTATCACTAAGAGACCTTGAAAAATATTTATTGGAAGAACCAGTTTCCTTATGTGACATGTGACAGAATAATGTGATTTGTAAGGGGGGGCCGATAGGAAACTTCTTACGGCCTCGTATATATTGTCTGCTAACCATATGTCCATTTGCTTGTCTGTCCATATGTTTCATGATAACTGCAAATCCCTTCAACCAGTCACCATGAAATATATCACGCAGCTTACCAGTACCTTTCCCCAGGTCTGCATCATGTTTGGCAATATTGGTAAGACAGTACTTTTAAAAAGCACTAAAATGAAAATAAGATTGTGTTTGGTATGGTCTTGAACAAGAAAACAGAACAAAAATTGAAAAATTGTGCAAAGAAGCACGGAGAGATGCATTATTGGAATTACATTCAAAGACCGAATAGGGGAACTAGTGTATTAGAGTATTATAGAACATGTGCAAGTTAAATACACCATTCAAACTGTAAAGCAAAGTAATTGGGCTTGGACAAGACAGGTCGCCAAAGGGATTGTAAAAATGGAGTGACACCCTCGGACTAGGCCGCATCTGAAAGTCTGACTACCGAGGAGATGGAGCAATACAGAACCATGAGGGATGGTGACAATCTGGGGCAGGCCTTCATCCAGCAGTGAATTGATCATGGGTGATGATGACGTTTCATACCGATGTGATTAGTGGGAGAGTATGTAACAAATTGATCACATTGGGTGTAAGTGCACCTGCTTATTGTGTTGTCTCTAAAGACATTTGGACGTTTCCGTGTGCACACTGCTGCGTGCATATTTCAACAAAATATTTGATGATGCTGCATTGGCAATGGTGTACAAGTACAATTTACAAAAAAAGCTCAATATATTTATCAACAACACCACTCCCTTAACAAAAATAATATAATTGGCAACGTTTCAGGCAATGGCCCTTCTTCATGGCACATAAAATCCCGAACAAAATCGAGGCTACTCTTTTCACTTTCCCGCGTTTGTTTTACATTCGAACCTTCAGGTTTATCAGTTAACAGACAGTCGTGGTGCACGTTTTACCAGTCACGTATTGAATGATCCCTAACTCATACATGGCCGGAGAAGCTGAGCAGATATGGGCAGTTGAAATGTGGAGTGTCATGAGAACCTGACTTTTTAAAATCCACGTTGTTTGGTAAAGGCATGCATAGAATCATACACTGCAGTGCTGCATCAAATTAAATTGTATTGATCAAATGATGGAACTTTTTATTCTATAAAAAAAGTTCTTGGTAACTAAATTGGAAAATATACGATGATTATTGGCCAGGATACCTGAGAAATTGTGTTTAAATACATAATCTCTATCAATAAAGCCATCATTGCCTTAATTTAGTATCGTCGGCTGCTGGAGGCTGCAGGTCTTCTCCTGTGGCTTTGAAGATAGTATCTTCTGTTGGCTGAAAATTCGTTGCTTATAGCTCTCTCCATCTGTTGTTGCCTCTTCAATTGAGATGTCCTCCCCAAGTCCACCTCTTTTATTGCTTGTGAATGTGATGTCTTGAATTATTATTTGCGCTCCTCTTCACATGCTCCTCCTCGTGTGCCCTCCAGTTATTCCAACCGCGTAGTTTTCCAACGGCAATTAAAACACCATAACTCAGAGTATTTATGCGCTGCAGGAATGAAACACAAAAAAACAAGGGGGTGTTTTCCGTGCCTATTTTGCGTCAGGTGGAACACAAAGCAAGCTCGTGTTGGCATGTCGAGTTTATTCATGGGGTTGGTTGGAGCAAATGGAATGCTGTTTGCTAGGCTTAGCTGAGCCGAACAGAGATTGCCAACCAACCCGTTTGAGTCGCTGGAACCTTCCTCAATTTTCCTCTCCCAAAGAATCAAGCAGAGCCAGAGGATTCGGGAATTGCTGTTGCATGTATCCTTATGCAGACACTAATATACCGCTAATAATTCGTATAGGAAGGCAGCCCAGGAAAGGTCCTTGCTCCAGCAGCGCACGTCAGCTTTTATGCAGCGTCAAGGAGGCAGCAACGACATCACAACAAGAGCCCGGCTGAGTCCGGGTGAGGGTGGCAGGCACAGGACTGGAGGAGCGTGGTGGGAGAGACGGGCCAGGGAGCTGAGAAGTGAGAAGAGGGCGCAACCAGGCGCCTCTGCTCAGCCAAACCCCGTCTGCTTCAAACGCTGCTGTTGTTGTTGTTGTGTGATGTACCTCTGTTGCTAGTGCCGCTGCTTTTGCCCTAGGAGGGTACTCGTGTACGGTGGGAGTGCTGTACACTCCAGGTGAGCGTGGAGAAGCGGCCACTGTGGCGTACGACAAAGGGGGTCTACTGTAGTGAATGGCTGGAGGGCGGCCATGAGCATGCCACTGTTTGGCACCGGTGTGCGACCCTGAGCAGAACTTAAAGGACCTAAACCTCTGTATGCTCGTGTTCCTGTGCCTGGGCAAAGGGGTACAGCAAAAGTATTGTCTGCTGGTGTGTGTGTGTGTGTGCGTGACGGGTTTGCTTAGGGACTATGTGTGAGTGAATCTTACCTAAGTGGCAAATAGCAAGAGGTCTGTTCAGAGTGTGATTCTGACGGGATTGTGTATGGTTTAGGTGTGTGTGTGTAATAGTTTAGGCAAGGCATGGTGCCACCTCTGTTTCTTGGAGGATGTGGCAGTGGCCACGACTACTCCACCTCCCTTAACATGGCTGAACCCAAATAAATTGTTCAGACCCTTTTTACTGGCTCGGCCCTGGTCTGTTGTCCGATCACCCACCAGGGCACAAGTCTGATACCCCATGCTCTACCTACCCCGATCGACTTCTTTTGTATAGTGATGCCAAAATTGTTAACCCAACGTCACATACTCTTTGGTTCTATTGGGTAAAGTCATGTAGGTAAAAAATAAAATAACAAAAATCACGACTTTTCGGCCACAACACAAGCGGCCTTCATCAGGTCGCTTGTGTTGTGCCCGAAACGTCGTGATTTTTGTTATTTTATTTTTTACCTACGTGACTTTACCCAATAGAACCAAAGAGTATGGATCCTAGCAGTCACGAAAGCTTTCAATCTAGAACCAACGTCACGTCCTATTTGCGAGTGTAATAGCTTTTTTTGACGGATGTATTTTTTGCCCATCAATTTCAAAACTTTTTTTTTTCAAAAATACCGCTCACACCAACAAAAGAGTGTTTTTTGTTTAAAACTCGGTATGAATTGGCATGCCTACTCCGTCTCGATATTATCAACGCACAAAAAGTCTCTCTGCCACCCAATTCCATCTGTAGGGAAATCAAATAGTGCAAGCAAGCCTCCTTTATTACGCTGATAGAAGTTTTCAAAGGGGACTGTATTTAAAATAAAACTGATGAACCTTGAAACCGCAATGCAATTCATATGCTCGCCAGGCCACTTAAAAAAAATGTGAATTCTAATTTTTTTCTCATTTATTTCGATAAGACTTTACTTCTCGCCACCAAGCCCAGTAGACATTTGCGACACGGGGTCCACATGTGATTTGCATATCACAGACGCTAATAATAAACTGCCGTCGAGGCACGTGGTGATTCTGCCGCCAGGATCCACGCTCGGCTCCACAGCGTGTGCCCCTGCACGTACACCCACGTCTCATAAGCCGTGCCGTGCGGCGCGTCGCGTGCTGCTTGTGCTCTGTGATCCATTTGAGGCACGGAGTGGATCGACTCTGTCGCCCCCCCCACGTCATCTGCCTTAATTGCTCATTAATAGCGGCTTGCCACGCGCTAATTGTTCCTCTTTTTGGGCTAAATCTGCAGTGGCGAAGAACAATTTTCTACTTGCAGCAATTAACACCTGCACTGCTGCTACACTCCTTCGGGGAATATTCAAATTGCGGTTCTGTAATTGCTAGAAAGATATATAATGATCCATTGAAATTCGATCGATATGTAAAATTAATTATAAGCTGCATGAAATCAGAACGCTTATTTGTTATTCAATAATTGAGTTGGTATCCACCCACTAAAATGATTAAACCAGACACGCAACTGCAGAGATGTATCTTTTATGATGTAACTTCTAGCTACGTGTGTGTGTGTTTATACATGCACACACTTATGGCTGCCTTTGTGCCTGCATATCCGTGTGAGCACGTGTGTCTCTGCGGCGATCTTTGTGTTCGTCTCTATTAGGCTGTGTGTGCATGTGTGTGTGTCTGCATGCGTGTCTGCTTTTAACGCAACTGGCTTACACCCGTGTGTTCGAATTTAATCGGCTATATTTATACGGCCCACTTGTCTGCTGTCAGGGTTCGGTGAACTGATCATCGCCAAAAGGCCTGCTAAATTAAATAAGATTAGCACTTAGGCTGAGCAGCAGGCTCCCAAAGACTCTGCAGTAAAAGTCCCGTAAATTAGTGAGGAGCCTCTTGGACTAAAGTCATTATGGTGGGCACGGCAGTCCCAGAGTGCAATGTGTGCAGAGTTTGTTTCTCATGTGTGTATGTATAACCCATTATCATGTCTAACCCATTGCTGTGTGTGTGTATGTCATGTTTAGTGTGGGAGCTTTGCCAGCTGTTTGAAGGAGAGCAGTGGGTGCAGGGTGACATGCTCAGGTAGGGCACACCGCCTGCCTGAACGCACCTTTTTTGAAAGGATTGAGCACTCTATCTCCAACACTCTGATGTCCTGACAGGAGTTTAGTGGGATAAGTGGTGCACTGGCTGAGGGTTAAGTTATGGACCATCATTCCTATTTCATGCTGGTCTCTATTATGCTTTAACGCTTGTGCTGGGAGTGTGCGTTGGGAATCCATTGCATTGAATTACATCTTTCAATTTCTTGACACAGTCAAGATGGGAGAATCAGATTAGATCTCAAAATGTAATAACCATAAACCTGACTATAACCCTAACAATCCTAATCGAGTTATATACCAAATAACCATGAGCTTTAACCCATATCCCCAACAGTCTAACCTCAGCCATTGTTCTAACAATTGTGTATAATTCCCACCTTCACAATCATTTTCGATAGCTTTTAACAACCTAAAATTTCACAAGAATGTTGCAACGACAGTTGTTTAGAAAATGGCCCATAATAGAGGTCAATGTTACATCCATCGCGTCTCCTATGGGTCTTTCAGAGGACCTTAGGCAGCGTCCTGTAATAATCACTGTCAGCAATTGGAGCGTACGCTTCAGCATCACTGCCCACAAAGTTCCTGAGAGTGGACGCAGGGTCTAATCTGAAAAGGACTTTTGGAAGTGAGTCTGGGCAGTGGGCCCGGTCTCAGAACCCTGTGGGGAGGCCCCTGTGTTCAGTTGACCTCACATTGAGGCTGCTGCTTTAAGCACACGTGCACAGAGACTTCACAGAAGAACAAAACAAATCAAGTCCACAATGGCAAGTACAATCTCAAAATATCTAATGTTCATCAAGGTTGCGGCACTTACTTTTTCAGTGCGGTTTTAAGCACGTACAGGGATGTTATTTGTGTATATTTTGTATTTGCGTCTTTGTGTGTGCAAGTGTCGTTTGGAGGGGAACTACGAACCCAGCAGCTTGCATTCGATTCTCAGCCACGGATAAAGTCAGTGGAAAGTAGAAAATTAGTACCTGGTGCAGTAAAAGACATCAGCACTGGGGAGACAAAGGTGGCCAGTGTATAATTCTGGCCACACTATCCTCTTCTGCACCATTCTGGACTCAAAAGGTGCTGATTAACAGCGTGTTCCCCCAACAATCTTAATAGGATGTGGGTGAACCTTTGTGTTTTAGAGAGCAGTTGTGTCCTGTGAAGTATACTTCCTACATAATCTCGGTTATTTGAGTATTGTTGCCGAAGATGTGCACTCACAGCGGGAGTTAAAATCTAAGCCTGGTCTCAACTTGGCTTTGGTTAACTGAGCCTAAATTTAGCAATTGCTTATGGTGTGGTCAACATCAGCAGGAATGAGACAAAGGTGGCTAGGTATGTCCTGGCCCCAGAATGCACTGTGCCAGTACTTTAACATATGCTCAAAACAGACTTTGTGACAACAGTCAATGAAGTCTAAAGGTAGATCTTTTTCATCTTTGTTTATAAAGGGACCTTTATTTTTGCGTGTGTACACATATATATGTATATGTGGGTGTCATTGTGTGTATACATCTACGTTCATAAAATCAACAAGGTTTCCACACTGCACAATGAAGCCGGTGAACTAGGTTTGATTCTTAGCCACAGCAAACATCAATGGTGATTGCTATGAGCCAACCCTGGGCCTGCTTCAGGTCGACTCGACCTGAAATAAGCAACTGGTGCTGTGTGTGAACATCGCCATTGTGAAGACAAAGGCGACCGGGCATGGTGCTGGCCACCCACCTCTGAGTGTGCCGTGCCCGCCTTCATAGATGCTCGCTAACATAATTTGCCTCAAAGTCTGTTAAGGATATACGGGGGATTTTTGTCTTTGTTTGTATTGTATACCTGGGAATAGTTTCAAATGTGGCTTTAAATTCCTATGAAGAAGGTGCTGTTGAGTATAAACAGAATGAGGTGATGCTGCCTCAGACTTTACAAAATTTTCCCAACACATTTTGGCTGCCACGCTGCAATAAACGCCGCCTGTTGAGTATTCATCAGGGGGTTCGAATATACTTTGAATATGTATACTTGCAAGCAAATTTTTTTTTATACGTGATCTCTTTAAATGTTTTTAATTAAAACTGATAATGTAAAATTACGTTTGTAATTGACCTTTAACTGTGCATCGGTAAAACGACCGATGTTTTCTTTTACATTGCGGTGGGGCCGGTCGGCTTCTCTGATTGGAGGATGTGTCCAGGCACGCGTTACTTTTTGTGACCTCCTGTGATTATCCGAAATGGCGGTCAACGCACTTGGGCAGGGCACCTCGGAATCCCCGATAAGTTATTTTTGTTGTACTGCAGCCCAGCGGTCAAAATGCATTGGGGGAAAACATTCCCTGCTTGAAGCCGGTACCGTCTGCTACTATTTGTGCCCAGGACCATGTTCTTAACGTGGATGGATGTGTTGCCCCATTGGCCGTGTACCCACGTGCATTGTGCTTTGTTCCAGGAGGGCGGTACTGCCTCCCAGCTCGGAGCGTTGGGCGTGCGACGCGGCTGTTGAGGCCAACCCGGGAGTCTCGGGGTCCCTGGTCGGTGGGGGCTCTAAGGGTGCGGGAGTGGTAGCCGGGCTGGTGAGCCAACGCGTGCTGCAAGAGGAGGAGGAAGAGGGCCCTCGTTATACACGCGGCTCGGACAGCGAGGGATTCAGCCCCCGTCCTGGTGACAATCATCACCATCATCATCATCAACACGTGATCTTATCTAACGTAGATTTATAGGGCGCCTTATTACAAGGCGCTTTACAACTATGATAAAATTGTACATCAGATGGTCGTGGTTGAGATAAAGCGTGGGGGGTTATTAAAAGTGGTGATGTTAGTTATAGTGACAGGAGAATAGGTGGGAGAGGTTAAGGATGGGTTTGGGTAGGGGTAGTGATCGGGGTAGTGATAGGGGTTGGGGTTGGCTTGGTCATAGCTGGGGGCCGGGGGCACGGAGTGGCAGTAGCACGATGGGCTTGGGGAGAAGTGGTGGGTAGTTTTAACGAAGGAATGGAAGCAGGTTATAGTGAAGATGGTTGTTTTATAGTGAAGTGGGAGTTTGTTCCATTGTCACCATTGCCCTCATTGTGATCATCTTTATCCTCATCGCATGTATGATGATGGAGATGACAGGCTCCATGCCTCCAAGTCAAGCTTGAACTTTAGTCTGTGAAATTGTGTGCAGTACACATTTTATTACAATTTTAATGATGTATATTGTGCATTAATGTTGAAAAACCACTCAAATATGCCGGCAATCATACATCATCATAGAACATTGAAATATTAATCATAGAGCGTTCAACCGTTTACCACACATCCTCTTCTCGTAAGCCATGCCCATTCTTTACAGAGATCCTTACAAATGACACCTGATTTAAAATCACAAAAAGGCATGACCAAAGTTGTCATGGAAAAGGGTTTCTGATATCATGAGGGTGTACAAGCTAATAAAAATGCAAACCAGAGTTTGGTCTGCTTGAATTCACTGATGTGCCATTGTAGGATGATGGCATCTGGCCATCTTGTTCCAGGCTCAGAGTGCAGGCGATTATCTCTTCCCCAAAGCTTGCCTTGTATAAGCACAGACTTTGAAGAACCAAAGCACACCTGTGCCCGCAGGGTGCGCAATCTATTAGACTCTGATCCCTCTCCCATGCTGTCCCGACCCTGCAGTGCGGCGCTCCGACCGAGAGGAGGCTTTCTGTGCCCCTGCGCCGCACAGGGCCAGCATCGAGCGCCACCCCGGGGCACCGCGTCAGCCACCCCGCAACCCCTTCTCGCCCGGTTTTGCCTCGGAGCCGCCGGACCCCACCGCACGATCCGAGCGCATCGCTCGCTACAAGGCAGAGCGCCGTCAGCAGCTAGCCGAGCGCTACGGCATTCCAGCGGACAGTGACTCGGAGAACGACCCAGTGTCCAAGTACGCGTGGCTGAAGCAGCAGAGGGTTGGCGGTGCCGCCGCCGCTGCCGCCACCGCCGCTGCTGCTGGTGCCAGCGTCAGTGGTGGGGCGGGGATATCGGAGCGGGAGAAGAAGGTTCTGGCGTCGTTGTCGGAACGAGGGCCGGCACCAAATTCCCGGCACCGCATAGCCGGGCGGAAAGAGGTGCAGTACACGGGACCGTACCCAAAAGCGACCGACGGTGGTGCTGTGAGTGACGGCCGAGGGAGGATGCTCCATCACCAGCATCACCACCAACATAACCATCATCAGCAGAAGCAGCAGCAGCAACCGCAGCAGCAACCGCAGCAGCAGCAGCAGCAGAGAGGCAAGCACGGGGACACCATGGAGGCGTCAGAAAGAGCAAGGCCGGCACAACCGCGATATGCATGGGAGGAAGAAGGAGAGAGGTATCCACACACTGCCGCTCCACCTTACCAGTCTACCGCTGCCCCTCCTTACCATCAGGTGACCGCAACCCCTTACCAGCCTGCTGCTGCCTTTTACCAATCAACAGCCGTTCCTCCTTACCATCAGGTGACTGCCCCTCCTTACCAAGCAGCAGTCGATCCTTACCAGCATATGGCAGCTCCTCCTTATCAAATGGCGTGTGATCCTTATCAAGCCGTGGCCGCACCCCCTTACCAGCCGACTGCCGCCACTTATCCAGTGAGGGCAGTTCCGTCCTCTCCTCCATCGTCCCCAATGTCGCCGGCTTTCAGCCCCTACGAGGGCCACAGGTGAGCAGCAGAGAGTGGCTCGCACACCCCGCGCGGAACAAGAGTGCGTGTCCAAACGTGCCGAAGTGTGCCTATGCGTTTGCATCGGTTTGAATGCGGTTGTGCGCGACGTGTGCCGATGTGTGTTTTGTTTGCGCACTGGCAAGCACGCTTCTCCACGTGCATCCCTTTACGTTTTGTGCTGTGAACTGCAGAGCCAAACACAGACCCCTTCGCCGTGACGACGGAGGCAAGAGCGGCCATGACAGTGCCGCCCCCTGGAGACAACCGGGCTACAAGCACGTCCCCGTGCGCATCGTATCCCCACCGCAAGCCGGGGCCTCCACCACCGCCAGGCCTTGGCACCAGCGGCCACAGCAGTTCACGGAGCAGCCTCTGAACTTCCGTTCTGAGCCTCGCACCCAGCAGAGGCAGCAGCAGCAACAGCAGCAGCAGCCACCACCTCATTACCAACACCACCACCATCATCAACAGCAATACCAGCAACAACACCAGCCACAACACCAGGAGCAACACCAGCTACAGCACCAGCAGCAACAGCAGGAGCAACACCACTCTAGGCAGCCTCACTATCATGCTCAAGCTGTGTCAGCCCCACCTGAAGTCTGGAGCCCCAGCCGGCAGCAAGATTACCGGGCCCCTCAGCAACGAGCGTCCTACAGCAGCAACCAGACAATGAGCCCGTCGACAGAGCAGCCGGAGCACTACCGCGGTCTCGCTCACCGGCACGATCGTCCGGCTGGCTCGGAATTTTATGCTGGCGGACCCGCAGCCGGTGCGGTGCGGATCCCGGGCAGCGCGGGTAGTGTGTTCCGGCCAGTGGTGAGCGCGCGCCGAATGGCGATGGCAGAGCGGGCCACGCAACCAGAGCCAAGGACACCACCGGCCACGACGCCTCCACGGGCCAGCTTCGATGACTTCAGCCGCTCGGACGACGAGCAGTACGAGGTAGGAGAGGAGACGGGGGACGATATTGCTCTGCGGAGAGCGCAACGAGAGAGGGAGGCGGCCAGAGATGGGCGAATGGAACTAGAGGCCGATGAGAGCGTGACAGAATCTCCGCCGCTGCAGCCTCAACCGACCGCTCGCCTCCTGAAGAGCAGGAAGGCCGTGCTGCCCTCCGAGGTGCGGCGCCAGCAGCAGAAGATACCGTCCGACGAGGGGAAAGCGAGGTCCGGCCAGACGCCCGATGGGGGCCTGAGGGCAAAGCAGTCACCGTCGGCTCGAGGAGACGGCGAGAGGGAGTACGTGGGCGGTCCTGACGACGAAGGAGACGGCGCCGGAGCCGCGCGATGGTGGGGCGAGAGGAAGGGGGCGCAAACGGATGCCCATGGCGGGGTCGGCGGACCCGTGATGCGCAGCAGCTCTGAGATTTGGGGCGGGCCGCCCCACTTGTCGGCAGGGAACCTGGTCAGAGCGAGGCCGATGCGGAGGGCGACCCAGGAGGCCTTCCTGACGACGGCGGCGGCGGCAGGCGCCCGTGCAGAGAGGGGCACGGCCGAGGGGCGGGAGTGTGAGCGCGGTGGCGTGGACTGGCTGGGCACCGATGGCTACACGGGGGGCAGGCCGCCACCACGCGAGGGTTTGTTCGAGTCGCCCCCAGAGCCTCGGGCCCGCAGCAGATCCGTCGACTGGAATGCGGCGACGGCGAGGGTGAACGTGTAAGTGGCAGTAGTCCGAGGGCAGCGAAATGAGAAGTGCCCCGCTAGACAAGTCCTATATCCACTGATTTTACCACTTGCTAAACGCGAGTGTGAATGCAATTAAGGGTTTGAAGGGCAGTGCAGCGGTGCAGGAGTTGGCGCATTGCACCTTCGATCAGGGGACCAGATTGTCTACGTGCACCAGCTTCGCGAGGGGCTGTGTGGGAGTTTGAGACAATATGCGAGAAGGAAGTGAAGCAAGGTGGCATATAATACAAGACTGATGTGATTATAAAAAATGTCTCTTGAGGTTGCCTCGTAGCTCAATGGTCAGTGGTCCTGGAATTCAAATCTGCGGAGGTACCCAACGTTTCAACTAGCTTCCGAAGTATAACAAATTGATTGTCTCAAACAAGTTACCAATGACTAAAAAAAAAAACTCGTAAAATGTTTCCTTTATCAGCATACATTACAGACGAGAACATTTTAAAACGTCAATGTGAATGCCATACGACCAATATATCTCTGTAGCCGGTTGTGTGGTGTGTGGATGAAACGTCGGCACTTTAAGGGATCGCAGTTCAGTGATGTTTTCTTCCAATGGCTGTTCTCCAGCATGGGGTGATGCACGGCTTTGCTCGAGTTCAGAATTGGCCGTTTGTCTGATGATGCCAACAGCACAAATGGAATATATTTAGGTGAAAGACAAATACAACTGAAAATGAGTAATGAGTTGGCACTCATCCATGTTGGTGGTTCTAAGCCAATGGTAAAGATATTCATTTGTTTCCATGGTGGGAATCACTTTCTGCATAGAACAACCACTCTGGATATTCAGGACATTTAACGTTTAAATTGAGCAAAAAGAAGCTCGTGAAAAAAAAACCCATAGACAAATCTAACTGTTCTAGTGATGACAGCTTTCACACAGTACGTAGCCAACCGTGCTGATCAGAGGTGCAGGGGAAGGACAACAAACTATCGAGTGAATCATCCTACATCATGCCGAACAACAGGCAGTACAACCATAATGCATATATCGGATAGCACGATTACAGCAACCGACGCAGTTGTATAAAAATACAAGTCTTCTTGTGGGTGACTCCGGTTTTGTCTGCTGCAGTGAGGCGCGACCTGGAGGGCCCATGTGGCATGCCGAGGCTGGGAGGGGAGTGGGCGCCGGGGGCGGTGAAGGCGGCGTGGGCGGTGAAGGCGGCGTGGGCGGCAGGGTGGCTCCGGCTCAGCGCAGGGCCCGGCGCTACATCACGCCGGGGGACGACCGGCGGGCGTCCGACCGCTTCCGCACTCAACCCGTCACCTCGGCCGAACGGCACCAGACAGACAGGCGCGTTGCACCCCCGCTGATCCGCGAGATAATAAGCGGTTGTGGATTGTGAATGCTGTGTGGAGAGGTCAACACCATCTACTGTTTTCTATTTCTGCGTGCCATGTGCCGATGGCCCATTTATAATTGGCATGCGGGGACGATTTATAACAATGCGAATTTTTCTACCAGCGGGCAGTTGCTGGAAAAATATATTTATATTTATTTTAAAATAATATTCATGAAAATATATTTTTACGTCAAATATTTCTGCTGCTTTTGTGAAGTTTAACATTCCTTTTTGGGCGTTTTGTACAAATGATCGTTCTACTGGTAAGCTGCATGCATTTCATGCTACTTTTAGATGGAGGAAATTCCAATGAAGGTGCTCTCCCTTGCATTCCAGTTACTCAGCGACTTGAATTTGTAAAATCTTACACGGACTTTGTAGACTTCCAAAGCCATGCCCAAATTTTTGCACTCATTATCGCTATCTCAAAATACTCTCTGGTTCTTTCGGTAAAGTCACGTAGATAGAAAAAATAATAAAAGAAAACACGACGTTTCGGTCGCAACACAAGTGTCCGTCTTCAGGTTATAAAAAAAATGACCGAAACGTCGTGTTTTCTTTTATTATTTTCTACCTACGTGACTTTACCGAAAGAACCAGAGAGTATGGATTCCTGCAGTCACGAAAGCTTCAAATCAAGATTATCTCAAAATAGTTTGTACCGACATCGGACCACAAGCCATAGGCATGTCTGGATTTGCCCTCACTTGTTTTTCTTACTGGGTCTAAAGGCCACAGATTTCTGTTGCTGCTGGTTAATTGGGTGCTGAGGGGCGATGCCTGCTATGGTGGCTATCAGGCATTGTGGTAAGCATGATTTATTAGTGAGCAATGGGGAGACCTCGAGGTGACTGGGTGTTTGAAGCAGCTCATACCGTGTCAGATCACTGAGCCGAGAAAGCTGAGATCCTGGGTTCAAATCCAGGTTTCTGCCATCTATAATGAAACTGGGTTCTTGAATGTAGAGAGTTGATGGTGTCAGTCCAATCCCAAATGAATGCCAAAAAAAATTACACCAAACCTGGTGTTTTACATCATTTGCCTCATGACAAACAATCTTTCCAAGATCTATAAAATCTGTGCCTCTAGAATCGAGAAAAGTGTTTTTTTAAGTGCAAAAAAAGAAACAAATACAACAACTAAACGGCATTGGTTATATATTCTTGGTTCTTTCGGTAAAGTCACGTTGAACTGAAACAATAAAATATATATAAAACAATACAATTATCACGACGTTTCGACTGCAACACAAGCAGCCACCATCAGGTGTGAAAACACATGCATTGGTTATGTTGTAGAATTAGAAATCCCGAGTGTCAAGTAGCAGTTGGTGCCACGAGTCATCGAGGGCTGCCTGTGCAGTCTTGCTTTGTTTCCAAATTAGACCCCGGGCCCTGCTGGGCTGATCCAGAAACAGCCTGAATGTCGCCCCGAATGCTTCGATAGACACGTGGCTCCATCGCCTCGGCCTTTCCCCCTCTGTTGCTCCCTTTCCCTCTCCGGCTGCAGGAAAGTGATTCTAACAATAATAATCATTAAAAGTTCGAATACATGTGTTATGTTATGATATTCCAAAGTAAACTCAAGTTATTTTTGTAAATGTGTTTTTAAGCACTCGTAGCGCAGTATCAACGGAGCTACGCAGCCCACTCATAGCAGGCTACATGGCCCGTTTGATCCTTGCTTAGCCAGGTAAGGAATGCCATGCAAATATCCGGCTTGTGCACTCATCAGTGGTGGTTGCAACGCGGCGTGTGTAACCCTGGCTTATGTCTGCAGCAGGTCTTGGCAAGGGGATGCCGATGACAATGCTGGTGAGTGCCACCACTCTTCAACACTGGTTTACCCACACCTCACCTTCACAAAAACCTTCTTGTACACAGCACCGTAGCACCCAGCACTTGTGGAAGCCCATATGTGGAATACTTTTAAGTTAGCGTATACCATATTCCGCATGGAGAAGGAATATGCAAATGTATATCGCATTATATATTTTCTTTAAAAGGTCGACTCATATTGAAATGTTAAATTGGAACTTTTAAATTTTCACTGAAATACGTTGTATATATAGGCATATTTTGGAATATTTTTGATAAATGGAGAAATATTTACCGTAACACAATTGAAAATGGAAACAAACATTGTTTTGAGGTATATTCCATTTTCACTTCATTCCATTTGATAATCTATCACATTTCAATCTGTCAATCCACTGTTGGATGAAGGCCTCAACACTCTGTCAGTCATGGAAGGTTGCTTTACCATACCCCACCATGTTGACCAATGCAAGTTGGTGAAGGGAGCTCCTGACATTGGTTCAGATATGACTCACCCCTGCACCACCACTCCCCCACATTGCACAACATGCACTCTTAATCACTACTATAAGTACACATGTAAACATCATATTTAAAAACACGTGAATTTAAATAAAGTATGTGATGCATTTTTAAATATCGGGGCACGTGTTTTCTACCCCCATCTATCAAAATATATTTTTAAAATCTTGCCAAATATATTTTAACGGTATGCTGCAATGTGTTTTGAAAGCATTTTTTCCACAGCTTTAGATTTTAATAATATCTTTTCTGCGTGAGATATGTGTTCTGTCTGTGCATGTGGGAGAATGTGGTAGCTGAGGATTAGGGAGTTAAAACAATGAAACTAAAGACACTCTTGTCTGCTGTTAACAATACTGCATTTCTTACATTTGCACACGGCTATTTGGCATCAAACCATATCAAATATACTTCGCTAAAATGGTTTTCTACTTGCCAATTTTAAACGTGCTTTCACATCCTATGCTGCATTACGGTTGAAAAGTGAAGGTCAAAGTGGAACCCCGCAAATGTTTTTTCTCACTCCACTGCTGGTAGAAGGGCCTCATCTAGAGTGGCATCAGAGAGTTCCACTGGAGGGGATCCTTGCCTTATCCTTGCACTCAACTTAAATATGTATGCCAATTAAATATATATGCCAATTCATCAGTTCAATAAGTAGGCTGTTTAACACGCTGACACACAACATTTACAATTTACTCGAATTGTAAATGTTGTGGGTTTACTCTTCAACACACCGGTGTGCTGTACTAGTAACGAATTGCCATGTTTTGTTTACGTGACAAACTTTACTAATTGGCTGTGTCGGGTGATGCAGCTTTATATATACAGTGAGGGAAAAATGTATTTGATCTCCTGCTGATTTTGTACGTTTGCCCACTGACAAAGAAATGATCAGTCTATAATTTTAATGGTAGGTTTATTTGAACAGTGAGAGACAGAATAACAACAAAAAGATCCAGAAAAACGCATGTCAAAAATGTTATGAATTGATTTGCATTTTAATGAGGTAAATAAGTATTTGACTCCTCTGCAAAACATGACTTAATACTTGGTGGCAAAACCCTTGTTGGCAATCACAGAGGTCAGACGTTTCTTGTAGTTGGCCACCAGGTTTGCACACATCTTCAGAGGGATTTTGTCCCACTCCTCTTTGCAGATCTTCTCCAAGTCATTAAGGTTTTGAGGCTGATGTTTTGCAACTCGAACCTTCAGCTCCCTCCACAGATTTTCTATGGGATTAAGGTCTGAAGACTGGCTAGGCCACTCCAGGACCTTAATGTGCTTCTTCTTCTTGAGCCACTCCTTTGTTGCCTTGGCCGTGTGTTTTGGGTCATTGTCATGCCGGAATACCCATCCACGACCCATTTTCAATGCCCTGGCTGAGGCAAGGAAGTTCTCACCCAAGATTTGACGGTACATGGCCCAAGTATTAAGTCATGTTTTGCAGAGGGGTCAAATACTTATTTCCCACAAAATTCAAATAAATGTATAACATTTTTGACATGCGTTTTTCTGGATTTTTTTGTTCTTATTCTGTCTCTCACTGTTCAAATAAACCTACCATTAAAATTATAGACTGATCATTTCTCTGTCAGTAGGCAAACGTACAAAATCATCAGGGGATCAAATACTTTTTTCTCTCTGTATATATTCCAATTCATCTGTTCAATAAATAGGCCGTAAACACGCGAATACACAACGAAATACAATGGAATCTATTGAAGTGTTCAGTAAATGCGGCGTGTTATTGCATTTGTTATTGTATGTGTTAATAATCAATGATGGCTTGGATCGGCTTGTTCCCACAGAAGTTTATTGTTGTTGTGCATTTTGCTCCACTTTGAAACAGCTTGTATGTGTTCAATGCAAACCGTGTCTGCTATTCTACTAGAAACGGACAATATTGATGACAAGGCCAAGCTCAGTGTGGCTGCCAAGCGGTCCTTTTTCAAGGTTTGATTCTCCTCGATTATTACCACCGTGCCTTTAACCGTTGAGGAATTACACAGCTTTTAGTTAAGAGAATGACTACTGTGAGGTTAAATACACTGAAAATAAATACGTAAACTCCACCACCTGCTTCCAATACTCAATTATGGAACAGTCCAAAAATGAACACTCCCTCAAGGAAAACCAAATCACTGCCCTTGAAAAGTGAAGCCATTAAACATGAAATGACTGCTGCCGGAGCCAACATAACCACCAGTGGCAATGACCTATGGTTGTCCAATGCATGCATTAAACTTTAACGGCATGACAAATGTGGAGTAGTAATGCTGTACCAACATCACCGTCATCGTTCGCCTCCAGTGCACGACACATTGAGCACGATCCACGGCCCACGCCAGGTTAATGGGGAAGCGTATTGGGTGGCTTTGCAACATTGGCACACGCAGAGTTAAGTCCGATCGGGGATGTATTTTGCAAAATTAGAAAGGGAAGGTGATATTTGTCCTGATTAAATATTTATTATTGACTCATAATTGAACGTTAGCCGGGTCATTAGGGATAGAGCCCTTGCTGTTATCAAAGCAAGTCATGGGACCTGTAATGCGTATATTATAGGAAGAGTAATCCACAGCCCTTTATCAATCTGCTTCTGGATGGAAGCCTGACCACGCAATGTCGGTCATGGCGGTTGTTTGACCCATATCACCTACGTGACTTTACCCAATAGAACCAAAGTGTATGGATCCTAGCAGTCACGAAAGCTTTAAATCTAGAATTGACCCATACCACGCCACACGGCTCCGTGGCAACTGGTGAAGGAAGAGAGGCCCAAGACCGGTTTGTGTATCTCTTGCCACCTATATTTGCTGTAATTGGGAATCAAACTCTCAGTCGCCGAGTTCATTGTACAGTGTACTAACCACTGCCCCACATGGTGCAATTGGCACAAAAGCCATAATTCTTGATTTTTATAATCTCATCCATCAGCATGACGTTCATTGCTCACACAAAAAAAATCACGTCTCCCTCTTCTTTCATGATGTCACCTTGTCCTTCACCTCTTCCTTACCCTTCTTCCCCCTCCTCCTCCACGCTCCTGGCCTCTCCCACAGGAGCTGGAGAGAGCCGCGTCCCAGGAATCTCCAGCCTCTCCGAAAATGCGCTCTCGCAACCCGGCGGTGGAGCGACGTCTGCAACGCCGGCTGCACAAGCGCGCGTTCACGCAGCCCATTGGCACCCCGCCGGGCTCGCCTGCCAGGTGGGGGGTGGTGGGGGTATGAGGGGTTGGGGGGTATGGGGGGGGGGGGTCATCACACGTCATCCGCCTGTGTCTACGTCAGGGGTCGGCAACCAAAACAAGAAGTGGAGACATTTTTTTTTTCGAATTCGGGAAAACCAAAAATGCAATCTGTAAAGAGCCGCGATGAATGTGAACACGAGACGATGGTCCTTCATACACAACATCACGAAACGGTCCTGAGAGAGCCGTAACGCTGCTCCGGAGCTGCAGGTTGTCGACTCCTGCTGCACGTGGACGCAGCAATAATCGCCATGATCCAGGCCTTCAACTTCCCGCAGCTGGGCAAAGGCTTCCCACATTTTTTTATTGTTTCTTCTTCGTTTCGTTGTTTATGTCCAGTAGCGGCCTCCCTGCTGTCTTCCTCTGTCTTCTCTTGCATTATCCTAGATAAGAGGGATACAATTTTACCCACTCTGTCGGCAAAATCGTATTCCTCTCTCGTCAGTATTTTTTTTATGATGTGAGTTGCCTGTGTACACTCGATTTATTTTTCTTCAACGACAGCATCAGTGGCCCCTGTTCTTTTCATTATTGTATAAATCCTTAACCCTAAATAATAATGATGATGAGATGGTTAAAGCATTCTGATACAATCCCACATTATGGTCACGGCTTGCTTATATGAATATCGTTATTTGTATTATAATTGTACTGAATATGAGTTCTCTCCTAAGATGTGACTAATGAACAGTGATGCCCATATTTATAATTTTTAAGAGCCCATTGAGAAACGAAAGCCTATTTTTCAAGGTAGGTCTCGGTTTAGATACGTTGAACAAAAAAAGGAAGCGCATTACAGTGCAGATCACAGCATTCCATAAATTTACAAAAGAAGTTACGAAAGATATCAGAATAAATGTGCAATATTATTGATATAGTAAAACCTTGGATTGCGAGTAACTTGGTCTGCGAGTGTTTTGCAAGACGAGCAATTTTTTTTAAATAAACGAGCGAGGGTCTTGCAATACGAGTAGCACGTATACGCTTTGTCTGCTGAGTGTCACGTGATCACAACTGATATACGAGTGCTTTGATATACGAGTGCTTTGGATTACAAACACGTTTCCGGAACGAATTATGCTCGCAATCCAAGGTTTTACTGTATAGTGCAAACAATTGACAGGGTATAAATTTGAAACGAGCGAATATAATGCCGTGTACATCATGACACAGGTGGCCAGGAAATGTGTGCTGCTGGTTCACCTATCCAATCAGTATATGATCTATCTTTCTGAATTTGCCTGTCTCACTGTGCTGTTTTTTTCTTTCTGTCTCTCCATGTCTATGTCTGCCTGCCTATCTGTCCCCTCCGCCTGTCTCTCTGCCTCTGCTTTGCCTAACTGTCTTTATTTTCGCCAATTTGTCTATGCTTATGTTTGTATCTGTCTGCCTGTCTGTCTGTCTGTCGCCTCTTCCAATCCCTATTGCCTGCCCCCTTTATCTGTTTCCCTTGTGGCCCAAAGTGGAGCTGGCTTATTTGCTCAGGGCACAGCCAGTGGCAGCCCAACAGCCCAAGGAAGGAGCAACAGCCCCATTCCAGTCGAACCTGAACCCCAGCTGACCAGGTTGGCTGACAAAAATCATCGTGCAAGACTTTTGAAAATGAATACTGTGTGTGCGCGTGTTTGTGTGATGTGAGTACACCAAAGTGAACCTGGTGGTTGAGGTTGGATTCTGCCCATACACTCCCGTGGTATTCAGGGTTGCTGAAATGGTTTGGATACTCTCGGGACAAAATTCCAGATGAGGAGGCGCTCTATGAGGCCATCTTAGCCCTTTGCTAAGCTCTCGTAGATTTCAGGCCCGAGGCAAACTGCCTGTGGCCTGTCCCTCCATGTGTCCTTGTCAGTACCCTAAACTGGCATGGACCTTCCCTAGGGTGTCTCAGAACAAAATGAGTATCTGCTGCAGTTTGGTCAACAGCAGGATTTGGAAAACAGTAGGTGGGTGGGTGCTTGTCAGCGAACTGAGCTGGGATTTAACAAGGTATATATAAAATAAGCTTCTGGTCTTTCATGATAGGAATATAGGAATGTAGGCGAAGCATGCTTGCAATCAGATGACCAAATGAGGTGCGCAAATCGTAAGCTCAGAACGGAGCATGGCAATAAAGTATTATCGACATAGCTGGCGAAAGGAGGTGGCAATGGATAGACTGAGGAGAGCAGATTAACAAGACAGGTATTGAAGTGGCACCTCGATGTTGGTGAACAAAGCGTTTGGCCCGAAAGCCACATGGAGGCGACGAGGCTGTGAGTAGCACACCTCGGAGGTCTCTGTCAGCTGCGCAACTACTGCGGGTGCTGGCAGAAAGAAGGAAGTGGCAGTGATGCGTGGTGGCATCAGTGGTATCTAATATGGTAATCCTATAGCAAACATTATTCGATACCTAAAAATCGCACACTCCTGGCTTTGCTATTCCTCATCGAAGACGCCGGTCTGACCATCGACTGCATCGGAAGCATGAACAGGCCGATGCGCACAACTCCTTCAAGACAAGCGAAATTGCGTAAGTGGCCATGCAGCCAAAACTATAGACCATATCGGAAACCACTGTTGTCTGCGCTCCTTCACCGGTGGAGGACGAATAGCAAAACTACATGAACTCTCTCCTGAAGCCCTCCTCATGGCGAGCAGATCCCGACGTTGGCATTTTATCTCCTGAACACATTGCCACATGCAATAATAGAAACAGGGCGCGAAGGTGGGTATGTTGTTTTTTTATTTGGCTGTGTGCTCACCCACTCCACACACCCCAACAACAACTGCCTTTCGCCACGAAGTGGTGGTGACATCACCATGGCGCTTGTGCCAGGCTAAGTGCAATGTAATGTCACGTGAAGTGTCGAATGTCCGCTGGCAGGAGGTCATGGGACAGACCAAGCAGGTGCCATCGGTTGACTGACTGAGATGACTGGCCGATGCACCACCTGTGCCCCCTATTGTGCCACACACCCCACAAAAGAAAAACAAACACAGACTGTTGGGGCACGTGCTGTTAGCGAGCACCTATGAAGGCCAGCATGGCACACGTGGGGGTCGGTGGCCAACACCATACCCGGCCGCCTTTGTCTCTCCAGTGGCGATGTTTACACACCGCACCAGGTACTCATTTGAAGCTGAGTCGACCTAGGAGAGGCCCAGGACCGGTTCAAATAATTGTCACCGGTGTTGGCCTTGAGCGGGAATCGCCAGGTTCGTAGCGCAGCACGCTAACCGTTACACTACCACTCCCCCATCCACACACTACACACACACACACCCCCCCACACACACACACCCCACACACACACCCCACACACACACACACCCCCCCACACACACACACCCCACACACACACCCACACACACACACCCCCCCACACACACTCACACCCCACACACACACCCCACACACACACCCACACACACACACCCCCCCACACACACACACACACACCCCACACACACGCGCTGCTGCTGCTGTGCTCGCAGCACGGGGAGCAAGCCCGAGATTGTGGCGCGTGCGCGGGACGAGGACGAGAGCCAGTCGGACGGCGCTCCGGACACCAGCACCCTGACGCTGACCGAGAAGATGGCGCTGTTCGACCGCCTTCTCCGGCCCGGCGCCGCGGGGGCCCCGCCGTCCCCCGCTCGCGGGCGCTCGACCCCCAGCGACGACGCGGCTCCGGGGGCGCCAAGGGACCGGCTGGTGTCCAGGAGGCGACGCGGTTCGTCTCGTTACCAGACCCAGCCCATCACCATGGAGGAGGTCAAGCAGGTGGGGTTGCTTCGGAGTTCTCCCACGGCACCTGCCGCTTCTTGCTGCAGACGTTTATTTTTGTTCGCAGCTGCGTTGGCATAGCTCTTTTCGCTGTGTGTTTTTACGGTTGTACCGAGTGCCGTGAAGCTCCGCTGCACGTGGTGGCGAAACGTCGGAAATCGTGCCAAACGACACACGATACAACGCAAATAGTTCTTGCAGGTTATATTCGGATTCCACTCACTTAAAGCTCTTCGCTAAATGTCCCAAACATAAACGGTGGTTGTTCTTCAGAGAAGCTGGTCCCCATCATGGGAATGTGGAATGTTATCCCACTCACTCAGGAGTGGTATAACATTCCACATTTTATTGAAATTGTGCTTACGGCATTGTGTCATCAAATAATCCATTCAGACCACTTGCAGAGCACCACGCAGCCCATGCATTCAAGAGCCGCATGCGGAAGTAGATATCTGGAGCAATTTGTCTATTTTTTTCCACAAATGGGTCTTCCCCCGAGATGGCATTGCCCTAAGCTGAGTGGCCAAATAGTTAGATACATTACGTTTACACTCGAACAAAACCCCATTTGGACTACATACAGTATTTACTAATCAGCAGCTGTGGGCATATGCTATATATCTTGAGCATGACCCTGAGCCTAGAGCACACCAGGACTCCAAATACAAAAAAAGAATGACACCGGGGGCATAATATGTGCTAATGAATTAAAATAAATTAAGATCCATATACATATCAGTTATATTTAGCATTATAAAGACATGACTCAAGTGACAGGTAACCTAATCAACCATTACTTTTATGATTTATTTTGCACCATGTTAACTTTAGATACTCAAAGATGCCAAGCAGAACAGCCTATCGGTTCAAAGACTCAATAAATCAATGTGTTAAAGTTTGAGTTCCTCCAGGAGTTTCAAAGGGAAGGATGATTTAAAATCTACTGCAGTGGGTTGTAAATGATAGGGCATTCCGTTTACGCGCTGAAATGATCTCCAGGTGCAAAGTGTATAACTAACTGTCCAGATAGAATAATATTATTTAAAGTGTAGAATTAACTGTTCAGATAGGGTAATATTATTTATGGAAATGTGTAGGTTGAGGTCACCGTACTCCCAACAAAGGTTATTGCAAAATTCACAACTACCTAATTTTTTGTACCTCGGGGAACAGTTATTATCCATCCACTTGTCGATACTACAGAGGCCCCAGCTGCTCATTAACATTTATTTACAAAATCAGGAAACGCCCGGCATGACCCGGTTGACACGGAGTGTTTGTGGAATCACCCTTTTTACAATATGAATAATACAAACTATTTCTAATGCTCACACATTTTGTAAATCAATACAAACTCCCATCGCTGCTACCCTCATCACCATCTCTGCAGATGTAACTAAGACTCTAATCATCACCACCCCCTTCACCATCACCCAGTTACAAGCCCTGCCAACATCACTACCACTCCCAACACGACCACACCCATCATCATCCCTACCGACATCACAACCACTCCGATCACTTCCATTCCGCCGTCGACATCCCTAACAACATCACTACGACCGGCATCGCTACTCACCGTGTGACCTCCATGGCCTCCGCTTCACAGGCAAACTCGGGGACCCTCACACCGTCCTCGCTCGGCTCCAGCAAAGCTGAGAAGTCCCCACCACTCCCTGACGAGCCGCCGATGTCGCATCCCCGATCGCCCAGCCCCGGGACTCCGAGATCCTCGGGGTCTTCTTGCACGCGGGATTCGCGTGCTCAAGCGATGGAAAACCCCTTTAAAACCGCCCCTAAGCACCACGCCGACAGCGCGGCAATGAACAGGGGCTCGGAGCCCCAGTGGTCTCAAGTTGACAACGCAGGGAGAGGTGAAACGAACGAACGGGGAAGGCCGCAAGAAGACAGAGAGGCATCAGGTGGTGGGAGAGTGGAAGAAGCAGTGAAAGATGACTGCAGGCAAACCGGGCGAGTGTCAGGGCGCGCCAATCGCGGGGACGTCAAGGCAAGAGATGTCCCCGGGAGTTCCGACAGCACGGCCAGAGGGAGTGTGGAGAGGATGAGTGCGGAGGAGAGCGTGGATGTGGCTAAAGATATGAATGCACAGGAGCTGGGAGAGATGAAGAGATTGGAGCAAGAGACCGGTGCCAGGAAAGGCTCAGGTGGAAGCGTTCGCCGACAGCTAAGTCAGGAGATTCTGGGCACCCAACTGAGCACAGGGGTGGATGAGGGGGTGGGAAAGGAGGAGGATGTAGAGGAGAAGGGAGCAAAGAAAGTCATGGAGAGGGAGACAGAAAGACAGAGGGAGATAGAAAGGCAGAGGGAGATAGAAAGACAGAGGAAGTTAGAAATAGAGGAGACAGAAAGACAGAGGGAGATAGAAAGGCAGAGGGAGATAGAAAGGCAGAGGGAGATAGAAAGACAGAGGAAGTTGGAAAGAGAGGAGATAGAGAGGCAGAAGGAGATGGAAAGGCAGTGGGAGATAGAAAGACAGAGGGAGATAGAAAGACAGGAGATAGAAAGACAAAAGGAGATCGAAAGACAGAGGGAGATAGAAAGACAGAGGGAGATAGAAAGACAGGAGATAGAAAGACAAAAGGAGATCGAAAGACAGAGGGAGTTAGAAAGACAGAGGGAGTTAGAAAGACAGAGGGAGTTAGAAAGACAGGAGATAGAAAGGCAAAGAGAGATCGAAAGAGAGGAGATAGAGAGGCAGAGGGAGATGGAAAGGCAGTGGGAGATAGAAAGACAGAGGGAGATAGAAAGACAGGAGATAGAAAGACAAAAGGAGATCGAAAGACAGAAGGAGTTAGAAAGACAGAGGGAGTTAGAAAGACAGAGGGAGTTAGAAAGACAGAGGGAGTTAGAAAGACAGAGGGAGTTAGAAAGACAGAGGGAGTTAGAAAGACAGAGGGAGTTAGAAAGACAGAGGGAGTTAGAAAGACAGAGGGAGTTAGAAAGACAGGAGATAGAAAGGCAGAGAGAGATAGAAAGAGAGGGGATAGAGAGGCAGAGGGAGATGGAAAAGCAGTGGGAGATAGAGAGACAGAGGGAGATAGAAAGACAGGAGATAGAGAGACACAGGGAGATGGAAAGGCAAACGGAGATGCAAAAACACAAGGAGATAGAAAGAGAGAGGGAGATGGAAAGACAGAGAGAGGCAGAAAGACAGAGGGAGATAGAAAGACAGAGAGAGATAGACAGACAGAGGGAGATGGAAAGACAGGAGGCAGAAAAACAAGAGATAGACAGACTAAAGGAGGTGAAAAAACAAAAGGAAATGGAAAGACAGAGAGAGAGAGACAGACAGAAGGAGATAGACAGACAGAGGGAGTTGGAAAGACAGAGAGAGATAGAAAAACAGGAGATAGAAAGGCAAAATGAACTAGAAAGACAAATGGAGATGCAAAGACAAAAGGAGATAGGCAGACAGAGGGAGTTAGAAAGACAAAAGGAGATAGAAAGAGAGAGGGAGATGGAGAGACAGAGAGATGTAGAAAGACAAAATGAAGTCGAAAGACAGAAGGAAATGCAAAGACAAAAGGAGATGGAGAGACAGAGGGAGCTTACAAGACAGGAGATAGAAAGGCAGAGGGAATTGGAAAGAGAAAATATAGAAAGGCAGAGGGAAGTAGAAAGGCAAAGGGAGATGGAGAAGCAGAGGGAGCTGGAGAGGGAATGGGAGATGAAAGTGAAAAGAGATGTGGAACGACAGAGGGAGTTGGAATGGGAGAGTGTGGTGAAGGAGAGGGATGAGTTTGAAATGGAGAGAGGGAAGCAAAAAAATGAAATGCAGTGGAAGACAGACAGGAAAAAGGAGAATAAATCTAAAATGGAAGGGGAGAGAAGGAGAGGCGACGATGAGAGTGAACGCTACCGTAAGCACGTGGCCGAGGGAGTGGAGGAAGAAGTCGTAGACCGGGCGCTGGATAGGAGGGGGTCGGAGAGGACGACGCAGAGACAGACTGATGAGGTGAGGTCAGAGAGGGTGCCCGTAAGGAAGGCGGAGAGAGGTGCGCACATTCATGTTTCTGACAAGGAGCTGGGAACGGCTGTCGACAAGCAAATTGTGACGGGGCTCGGATTGGAGGAAGTTGAAGAGAAAGGAACTGGGCAGAGCGATAGGAAGGAACAGGTTGATTTCGAAGCGGAGATAGGGGTCACTGGTGCAGGAGAGAGACCGTTGAGGCAGCAGTGGGCCGAGCAAAGAGAAAAGGGCATTGAGGCACAGAGAGTGACCGAGTTGACGGCCACAGCGGACGACGCGAGAGTGAGACCCTCATCGCTGCTCACTAAGACAAAGGGGACCGAGGAGGCCATGGAGATGGAGAGCGTGCAGACGCCGGCTACTGCTGGTGCGTGAGGCATGGGAACCTTCCAGTCATGTCTGTTGCCTCTGTACCCACTCACCCGTTCATTTACACAAACATCAATCCATTGCATTTACCTAGGAGACCTCCACCTCTGGTCAACTCACCTGGAGTGAACCCCGTTCTAATTGAATCTGAGGATCTTAGCAGGGTGCCCCCTTGATCGAGCTTAGATGGTTGACCACGGTGCGGAATTTTATTTTTCTGCGGGACTATGTGGTGGGCAGCAGAGGGCGGTCCAGCAACATTAGTTGTTGGACTGTACTTCCACGCTCCTTTGTCTGCACTACCTGCCTTCACCAACCTGCACTGAACATTGTGAAGTACTGTTAAGAGAAGTCAAAAAAATATATATTTTATATATGTAGATTATCAATAATACTAATATGACATTATGCAGGAAAAACAAACAACTCATCTTGTCCATAAAAGTTTGTATGTTGCTAATCGGGTGCTTTCCAGGTGTTTGGCCACATGCTCCTATCTGGATGTGTATGAATCATTGCCCATGTCCACGTATTAACAGTGAGTTCCCTGTCTCTTGAACCTCTCGCCCGGCAGACGTAGACGCATTGGGCCCCGCTCCATTGCAGCAGGGCATCGGCAATGCCACGTGCTCGGCCTTCCAGCCGTGGCAGCGTCCATGCCACCACGTGGCGGCCAAGCCCTGGGTTCCCAACGTCGCTTCGTCACCCACAAATGCCGCCGCGAGGCCCTGGGTGGGTCCCCCGACGCAGGCCACTACCGCCCCGTCGCAAGCACATGGGCAGTCGCACTCATCACCCAAGCCCTGGGTAGCGGCCACGAAGCAGGGGGCCGATCGACAGGGAATGCAGCCGCAGCAGAAGGAGCAGCAGGGAATTGTACCGCCCCAGAATGAAATGCCAAAGCAGCAGGGAGTGCCACAGCAGCAGCAGCAGCAGAAGCAGCAACCGGCTCTGTCCCTACTGCAGCTGCCGCAGAAGCAGCCGCCCCCAACATCACCCAAGCCGCGAGTGCTGCTCGTGTCCGTGCCACAGGAGGGGCCTCTGTACCGGGCATCCCCGCAGACCCAGTCCACCGGCCCGTCACACCAGGTGACTTTGTGCTTATGCTGCGTGTGCTGTCAAAAGCATGGAAGTGCGTATGTGTTTCTGGATAATACTGTCTGTATACTAGGCACGTGAGCGTTGAGCCTGGATAGTGCTTAGGTTGTAATAGGTGGTGGGGCCAAGTGGTGGGTAGCAGATGGTCTGTGAAGCAAAAGCCAATCAAATCATGAGTACATTTGGTATTTTCACCATTCTTATAGCACAAGCCCTTCACAAAGGCACTTTTTGTGCTGTAGGTTCAGTGTTGCTTGTACAATCCCAAATTGAGTATTTTGCCGGTAAATTTTCTAATTAGATTTTTTTTTTCCAATGTTGAATTGCACTTCTTTGCTCCCATGTCTCTGCTCCCTGCCTTCACCAAACCTGTACTCATCAGAGTGGTGAAGTATTGTTAAACAACTCCCGTAACCCACACAGTGTGGGGAGTCCTGTTATCCAGTAGTCGGTCGACAGAAGGGCTTTACTTGCACTGATGTACATGAGACATGTAAAGATTCAACTCTCCTTAGCTCCCAATTCCCTCCCCGTCCATCCTTTCGGGTTGATGAACAGTCATGATTTGGGATCATTAATCAATTAGAATAAAAACTAATTTTTTCGTCTAAGTTGCCTATCTCTCATTTGTATTGTCTGTGATCTTCGGTTTGTCTCGGTCCCATTTGGACACGAAGTCTAACATTCACATATAACTTACATAAATTATATATATATTTTTTACACAATCCGATGCATGCATTATTTGTGTCAAAAGCGAGTGACTCATAACATGTCTACTCCTACTTACGTACTCGTGCTTGTATATGGTGGGAATGTGTGGCGTGGGGGAAGCCTGTGAATGCTGTGTAAATCAAAATGAATGATGCTATCATTGCAGCCACAGGGCCCGGCCATCCCTCAGGTGTCTCCTCAGCCCTGGTTGGAGCCTACGGGGTCATCGTCCAGGCTGTGGGGACACCCGGCCCAACAGCACTCGCCCCTCCCATTGCAGCAGCCACCCAGCCTGGCTGAGCAGTCACAAAAGCAGCAGCAACAGCAGTGGCCACCCATGCAGCGCCATTCTCAGCAAATCCACCTGGCACCTGGGCAGGAGTCTGAGCCACTGCTCCCAGAACAGCAGCAGCAGCAGCAGCAACGGCCAATGAAACAGCCACGTGCCCACGCACAGCCCTGTGATATTGGCTCCTCCAAGGCTGAACTTCCCCAGGTGAGTTATGTGGCTTCACCTTTCGCATGAGGTACTTTAGGGATTTTGTGTGCCTAACTTCATCACTGACCAATTGATATTGCTTAGTGTGACATCACTATTGTGAAAATAGCTGATAACAGGAGCACAGTAGGCTCGTGTGAGGCATGATATTAGATTAATCCCATTCGGGACATTGTCCTGCTTTAGATTAATGAATTAAATGACATTGTGTAGAGGTGGCCCAAGGGTGGAAGTTATTTGCTGGAATCTGGGTCACAGCCACTCAAGGTAAAACCAGGTTCTCCAGGTATAGTGCGTACATTGTCTCATGCCAGTTATAAATGACAAACAAAATAAACATGATAAGAAATTTGGTGTTTCACTTCATTTGGTAAAAATGAAATTTCCCTGTAGCTGGTCATGTAAAAGCACAGTGCCTCTTTTGTGAAAAAGAAGCCATTTGTAATTATCTCAACAGTGGTTCTGTGAGCTCTCTTTTTATGGGCCATTCCCCAACACGGGATGATTCACTGTTCTGTCACAGTTCAGAATAAATACTTCACATGTTGACATGCTGCTGATCACACAATTGGAATAAATTTGGGATTTTTTTTTATCCAAAAAATTATATTGTGCATGCTTGCCATTAATGGCATTCGCCATTGCACCAAATCAGTGTGGGTTTTTTTATCCTGCTGTAAATAGCAGGAGGCGCGAGTGGCTGAAGAGAGGAGCGACAAAGGAATGCTGACAGTCGCCGACCGCAAGCAACTGCTGACGCAGAGGGAGGAGGGACGCACGATGCGGGGAACGGCACCAGGACCCTCCGCCCCGCACGGACACCAAGGCCGCTCCGCACAGCCGTCACCGGACCGCAGGGCGGCACAAGTCGGTACTAATCCCTCTGAACTCATGGCATCGTAGTTAGAGGCACCGCTAGAATTGGCGAGGTGTATGTACGTTGAGCTTTTTTCGCACCGGATGTAACCAACCGTGCTAAATCGGAGGTGTGGGGGAAGGACAACAAACTAAACACAAACTGCGGTTCTAAAGAAATTAGGTTTAAAGCTAGTTTTTTAAGTGCATAGCTCCAGTGGCTTCCTAATATGAGAAGGAAGAGTTATTTTTAGTTCACAGTTTGGCACAGAGGGTAATTCTGTGTCAGAGACACTGAGCCCACACTGTTCAGATCCTGGGTTTGAATCTGGGTTTTTAGTCGCCCATGATTGTATCGGGTTCTCCAATGTTTTCAGCTCAGAAACAATGATGTTACAATTTGTTTCTCACTTTATTTTGTACATTCAATATCTGAGAAAAAAAGGTTAGAATGAGATGAAATTAACACTCTTTTCAGGGCATGTGAAAGGTATGCTCCTATTTTGTATAAGAGGTCTATTGAGGTGACATCCAAAGTAGTTTTGTGATGTTATCCTGTGGTGCTGTTCTCTGAGCATTGCACGACATTCACTGCTCGCTATGAGCAGTGCTTTTAGGAGGCAGTATAACAATTAGGTGTCAGACCTAACCATGCATACTTTAGTACAAACCCTTTCTACACATGGATTGTCCCCGTGCACTTAATGTCAATAACTTCTCAGCTGCCGTATGCCAAGTAAAAACTTTAAACCTGTTGGACGATTTTTCTGTTTAAATCTTTTATTGTTATTTTTGCAATTATAATTCTATTACAGAGAAGGTTCGGTCACATATCCGAATGGCCCGGGATGCGGTTGCCAGGGATGCGGTTGCCAGGGAGGCAACTGCCAGAGACGGAGGATTTTACCTGCAAACGGGCCGAGGGGGCTGGGCTGGCTCGGAGTTTAGCGATGAAGACTTTGCCTACGTGGCCAACGTGCACACACCGCGGTGAGCACACGAGCAGGCGCGCGGGGCCTACAGTACGTGCTTCGGTACTTCAAACCCGTGCTGACAGAATCCCCAACGCGTGCCTTGTAATCGCACCCAGGTCACCGGATTCATCGCACGGTGCACTGATCGTTGTGCCACAACTCCGCTGCCAAAATAAGTGCTTGATGATATCACGAGTATTTACGGTGCATGACGATGATAAAGATGGATCCGGCAAAAAGCGCGAGGTTCGAGGCTCTCGTCGCCACTGGTTTGAGCGCCTCGATTTGTCTCCGCGCTTTGTTCCAGGCTGGACTTCAGCCTGGCGGAGCACAGGCGGGCCGTGCGCCCGCTGCGCCGCACCGTGCCCTCCCGCAATCCGCTGCGAGTGCTGGCCGCACGCGCCGATGTGTGGTCCGAGGACGTGGCCCTGGGCCTGGAAATGAACAGCCCTCCACGGCCCCACACCGCTTGCCACGCGCGGCCTGGTGAGCCGAGCCCCCGCCGCGGCATCGTTAACTATCGTGGCCATCGTCGGGGTCATCACCGTCGGTATCACAGCAAGTGTCGTCATCATCATCGTAGTTGCCAAAGTGGTTGTCAGTATCGCCATCTTCTTTAGCATCATCGCCTTCATCGGCGTCGTCGTCGTCGTCGTCAGCATCATGGTGGTCATCAACGCCATTTTCATTATGATAGTGATCGTCACAGTTATCATTATCACCATCTTCATCGTCAACATCATTACTATCTTGGTGATTATTGTCATGACCCTTTACTATTGCGATCATAATAGTTATCACCATCAGCAGTGTGACCATCAGCACCATCATCTTCATGATAACCAGCCTTTAATTATGGTCACCAATTGTCACAATAATGCTAGAGTCATGAAAATTATATTATAATCGACATTACAAGTGTGTTGATAATCATCAGCATCATCGTAGTAACTTAAAATGTATGATCATTATCAACATCAGCATCGACTTTGTTTATGTAACACTTGTCAATGTGTATATGAATGAAGAGAGAACCATACAAAGTTTCATATTGTGGGGGTGGGTAGAAGGGGGGCTAAATACATGACAAAATAATGCTGCGAAATAAAATACAATTTATAACTACTGTGTTATGCTGGGTAATAAAATGTACCACCTCAAGCCAACACCGTAACATGTATAAATATATGTGCCTTATACATGATTTTTATTATAACGGAGCGAGCAAATTGAATTCCTAGTAAGTTTAGTGCCATTCTGCTCACTGGAAACCATAAGGCCATCACCAAGCATAATGCGCAATATGTCGTCTTGTGAGAGGGGGCATTTAATGTAAAGTGAAGTATTTATCAGCTTCATGCCAGGATAATGCTTGACATTGTGCTTTTAGGGAATGCACAAAACAATATTTTCTCAGATTAATTTGAAATTGTCAAAAAGGGTCTCTGCTCAAATGGTCAATAGAGTTTGCCCTTTTGTTTGTACCTTTGGTAGCCCTGAGCTAGAAGTGAAAATTCCACATTTCCATGGTAAGAGTGAGTCGTGCCAAAAGACTACTCATTTGATTGACCCTCGAAGGATGATGGTCTGAGTCGAGCTTTGATTGAGATTTGAACTTTGTTGCTTCTTGACCACTTTTAACGCCACGCAGCCCGATGACGCATTAGATCACCGATACACGATGCACAAAAGGCAGGGATTGAGGTGACTTCCAATTGGGTGCCGTTAACCAGCGCTTGTTCCTCCAGCGCTGTTGCTCAAACCATCCTCGGAGTTTATTGAGCCTGCGAGGGGGACCGCTAACCAGCGGGGAGAGCCCATGGAGTCACACACCGCAGCACCCCCACCGCCCCCCCCACCGCCCCCACCACCACCCCCCCCACCACCTCCACCCCCACCTCTTCCTGTCGGTATGCTTGCACGGTGTGCCTGTGTGTGTGTGTTTGCGTGTGATCATGCCCGCACGCTCATTAACCCGAGCGCTGCTCCGTTTTAACCAAATTGTCCTAGCCCGTGGGTGGCTTTCTGTGATTTTTTTTCTTTCTCCCCTCTCCTCGCGTCCCTGCAAGTTTCACGCTCTGTGAGTTTAACTCGAGCCACGTGGAACGTGTGTGTGTGTTTTTGAACAATGCATGCTTGTTTAATGCGTAACTCGTTAACGTGCCCCAGCCCCAAGCCTCACGCATTGCCTATCGAAGCAACTCGATATCCCGTCATACTTGCCAAGTGCTATTTGTGGAAAACAAGTCATCTGCATTTGTCATTCGCTTTTTTTTAACATAGAAAAAAATAAATCGGTGGGTTGCAACTGTTTTGACCATGGTGCGACGGCAATGTTACGAGTTTGGCGGGGGGGGGGGGGGAGGATGCTACCTGACTCCACTGTGTCACAGAGGGCTCCAATGTGGGGCAGTGGCACAGAGGTGACACTGTTTCTTGGCGACTGTGCCAATTCTCAAAGGTGGCACACAATGCAGCCTTGTGTAATGTTATGCAATTGACACGGGGATCAATTGCCCTCCTCAGATTACTACAATACGCTCATTTGAGTGTTTCGTTTTTGAAGAATTCACTTCAGTTCCGATCGAATGAGCATTAATGACAAAAAATAAGGGGGTTTGTTTTGCCTGTAATAAATCAAACGTTATTGATACCAGAGGCCAGAAAGCTACCCCATTTCCTTCAGCTATCAAGCAACGTCCAGTGGTGTCTCACTCCCCTCGGCGGCAGCATTTTTTCGCGGTATTTAATCAGCTGAAACGTTCCAAATATGACGTGCAATTTTTTTTATGAAGTGAAAATTTGAAGGGAATTAATAGTAATACGTAATTTTTTTTGTACAGTTTAAATTAAGAAAATTAGCTCCGAACACTTTCTCCACCAACATTGCCATCACTCACATGGTTTTCTAGTGCTAGGGCTAATGTCTACCGTTGGCTCTCTCACTGTGACACGTAGGGGGCATGATCACCCCCCCCCCCCCCCAAATGAGTATAACTGGAGCCACAGGATGGGTAGAAACGCAATGTCCCTCTTGTGGTTCTGCTTATACTTTTTGTGACAGAGTGGATCTTGAAATGATATGAGATGAAAGATAATGTACCTCCTCACTATTTCATGGAAAATAACTTATATATAGTAAGTGGTTTATTTTTTACATTTTGAGCAAAACAACTGCACTGTTTTTTCTTTTTCTGAAACGTACAAACGACCATAGTGTGAATGGACACACGAGCATTTAGATGATACTGGCTTTTGTTGATAATTGCGTTTGATATTTGGCCCGACCGACGCTCACCAAACCACCGGACTCAGCGTGGACATCGGCCAGCCAGCGGCCAGTCACGAAGCAGCCGCCCCTCGTTGCCCCCGTGGCTCCACCGCCACCTCCAGCGCCAGCAGTGGCCCCAGCAGTGCCTGTCGTTGCCATGGAGACACAAGCCGTGGCCAAGACACGCAGCAGCAAGACCACCACGGCAGCCACCCCTTACAAGCGAGTCATGCTGCTGCAGGTCAAAGGTCAGTCGGTGGACAATGGATGGTTGCCAACTTGTTTTAGAGTTTACATTCGGGAGCATCTCAGGAAGGTCCGATATATCCAGTTCACTTGGCAGGAACTCACGTTAAAGTGTCTCTGGCGCCTGATCAGTACCACGATTTTAAGTCTTGGTAGCGGGAGAGGGCTAAATGACCCCATGATGGAGGAGGGGGGGGGCATTAGGGGGCCAGGGTTGAAGAAGCTCAGGGGCAGTTACTGTGTGGAGGAGCTGTAGCCGAGAGGATAGCAGCTTTGAATCCATTCTCCGGATATAGTTTTAATTCAACGTCCTTAGCTACTGCAATTCTCCACTGAGCAATACGCCTAACTTTTTAAACTTGTTTTGATTCCATCTCAACATTACTCTACACTATTAATATTGGGGAGCAGTGGTTAGTGTGCTGCACTATGAACCCGTGATCTGAGCTTGATTAACGTCCAAGGTTCATATTATTGGTCAGTGGTATCTGAACTGGTCTTGAGGCCTCACTTCAACAAACGCTTACCAATATAGTGAAGTATGGTCAAACAACTGCCATGACCAACATTGCATAGGCAGGCCATCATCCAGCAGTGGATTGACAAAAAGCAGTAAATTATTGTAATTTAAATTATTCATATTATTTAAGCATACAAAAACGTGTTGATAATAATTACTTACTAAAACATGAACAATTAAAAATTAAATGGAACAAAAGACGAAAAGTGTGCTAAGAAGTTTGAAATTACACTTTGAGCAGGACACACCACTTGAAGGGGTGATGATGTATATGTATGTATGTTGAACTTCTTTCACAACGTACATAGCCAACCGTGCTAATCGGAGGTGCGTGATGGCCAGTGATCAGGACTCATTAAGGAGTGGCAGTCAAAGGAGGGAAAACACCTGAGAGGGCATCACAACTGAGATTGAGCAATGAAATCGGTTTGCGTGCAGGTGCTAAATAGATGAATACACCACATGGCTCGGGAAGGCCTTCATACAGCAATGTATGTTGAACTTGTTTCACACCTTAGCTAGCCGTGCTAATCGGAGGTGTGGTGGATCAATCGTGACGAATACTTTTTAGTGTAAAAAAAGGTTAATTGGATTATAAACCCATCTTGAGAGATTTTTAATAGAGGGCGGGTGGGGAGTATCAAACTACTGGTTGCCCCCTCCTCTCTACCCCCCCGTCCCAGAGTCTGCTAAATTTGGGGGCATCCCCCCCCCCCCCCCTCCTCTTTGCCACTTGTGGCACCACCCGAGAAAAATTCCATTTTGTGTGCTGCTCACACTTAGGCCGAAGCCACATTCAGACACGGCTTGTGGAGCCCAGAGCCACCTCCCTGAACAGCGGAGACTGCTTCATTCTGGTGACACCGCATCACTGCTACCTGTGGGTGGGACACTTCTCAAACCCGGCGGAGCGCAACAAGGTGAGGCTTAAGCGCGCGTATGAGCGTGGGTGTTTGCACAGCAGTCGGTGGGAGGCAAAATACACAGTGGTTGGCGCACCACACTTCTTCTGCTCGTGGTAACTCATACGGTCAATTCTCGATTATCCATTTGCGGATTATCTGGGTTGCAGATTAACCGAGCATGCAAAAAAAGAGGGGAAAATGTAATATGGTATTCCTCCCTCATTTGTCACTTTTGCATCTGCGCTGCTTCGATTTTTAGCTGGTGCTTACTTGCGACTGGGTGACCAATTACCTGAAAAGGCAATCAAATCAGATGCACATTCTCGGATTTCACCCCATTCTGTGTGCGTAAAACAATGAAGACGTGTTTATAGCCTATGTTCTTCTATTATCCACGCTGGCCAGGCCGCGGAGCTCGCCGGATACATCCAGTCTCGCCGCGACCTTGGCTGCCGAGCCGGGAGCGTACACGTGATCGAGGAGGGTGTGAACTGCGACAGTGGACGTGCGCGTGGATTCTGGGCCCACCTCGGTGGCTTCACGCCCTACCAGGGTGAGGCCAAGGGACGACGGGGACGCACGCAGCCATCGTTGCCATGTCAGAGCATTGAGCGAGAAGCTGCTGAGATATTGACCGCCTAGTTGGGTTTTTGCGGCATGTGCTGTATGGCTCTCCGATGTGTTTTCAGGTTGTACCGCTTTTCTATTCAGCATGGTGTCCGGCGTTTCATGATGTTCGACTGAGTGAAACGTTGGAAATCAGGCCGAACAACATGTGGTGGTACAACTCCAAAACACGTCACAAAGCTATCTCAGCCATCATTTTTTCAATTAAGTTATCATATCTGAACAATTGATGGACTCTTCCGAGTTACCTTTGAATGAAAAAAATAATATAAAATTAAGTTTCTCGCATAGTTTGATACAGTTCAACTCTTGAGGATTTGAAACATTTTGGCTGGATTGCTATGCATTCAACAGGGCATGTGGCAAGGTGCACGGCTCATTGTTGGTAAGAGGCAATTGATGGGACCCCAGAAGCAGTTATTTGATGTCATCTTCCAGAAACTCTTCTCTAACATGGGCTCTGATGCTTTGCCTTTTGCAACCATTGCATATAGAAAATGTTGTATCATCTCACTCATGGTATACTGCAATTAAAATATTATTTGGATAAAACATTTTTTTGCGTAGAAATGTATGTAAAAAGTCCTTTAAATGTTGTTCTTGGTGTGTCATTTTAACACTACTTTCAATACACCCTTGTGTTTAAGCAGTGGTCCACTGGTTAGTGTGCTATGCTGAATTCACTGCGACCCAGGTTTGATTGCTGGCTGACTGCATCATCAGTGGCAAATAGACTGAACTTGATCGAAACCTCCCCTGGGTTGATTCGTCTATAAATAAGCACTGTAGGCGGTGTGTTGCAGTCAACACCAAACCAAGAACTGGCCCACACATCCCCTCATATGACACGCAGGTCTTAAATGTGCTCACTAACAGAGCTTGCCTCAGCAGTCTTCCCTAGCTAAACACATGTTAGAGATTTTTGTTAGTATGTATGAGGTTGTGTGTGCATGTTTACGTGTTTGCGTGTGATGTAGTATGTCAACCCACAACACCTATGTCTCTAACTTGATTTCCTGGTAGTGGGTATAGGCCATGCCGTATGGCTTGAAAATGAAACAATCCTTGCACCAGTGTCGTGGCGTGCAGTGGGTGTTGGCTGCATTTGTGTCTGGGAGAGCTGGGCTATTCGATCACCGTGTTTAAGTACTTAAGAGTAGAATACGTGACCGATTTATCCGTCTAGTTATCGACTTGCATGATATGTGGATGCACACACTCATGTTGTAAATGTACAACAATAATCAGAAAATTATGAAGGGTTAAAAACTTTTTTTATTTGGCCATATTTTTTTGCGTGTTTTGAAACGGCTGTACGTCGTAATGACCTGAAAACTCTATTTCCCTGGACAAGAATAATGGTAAACCGTATGGGTTGACAGGCATGTCAATGACAATTTTTAACAGTTAATTGACGAATCGTTTCAGATATCTTTATTCTTTTTCCAGAAACTGCCTGATGAAACTGGTTGTAAATACCAGCGAAATAACGTACCCGATTGTTAAACGTAGTAGATCGCTCTGCAACACAGAATGGTGTGCTGAAGCAGTAATATATTTGAACATTTGTTCAACAGACAACCCTTACCGATTGGCCATGTCGGGTGGAAGAGGGTGCACAACGCACATTTTACTCACGCGACCTGACCCAAAAATCAATTGTGAATGGTCCAGCTTCAGTTGGTGGGTTAATGTGTTTTCACGTGCATCGCGGTAGCGTCGGGAGGCACGGAGGAGGACGAGCTGTACGAGGGCGTGATCGCCGAGACCAACTGCATCTACCGCATGGTGCACGACAAACTCATCCCTGAGGACGGCGCCTGGGGCCGCGTCCCTACGCAGGAGCTGCTGGAACCCAGCGACGTACGCTGCACCGCTCGCCGCTCACTACTCTCACTACGCACCGCTAACCACACCATGCTGGACACTGCAGATCACTCACCACGCTCCCCATAAGCTGCCACATGCTGAACACTGCTCGCCACACGAGGCTGCATACTGAACATCACTCATTACACACTGCTGAACACCATTCACCACACTCACCACACACCACTGTAAGTAAGCTTGGTCTTAAATTTCAATTTAAAGCTTTCGTGACTGCAATGATTCATCTTCTTTGGTTCTTTCGGTAAAGTCACGTAGAATGATAATAAAATAATAAATTGATAAAATAAAATAACACAGTAATATTCTCACAATAATATTTTATTTTATCAATTTATTATTTTATTATCATTCTACGTGACTTTACCGAAAGAACCAAAGAAGAAGCTTGGTCTTAACCATGGAAATGTTGGATATCCACCTGTGGCTCTGGGCAGCTACTGAAGATGGGTGCCACCTAATATGTAAGCAAGGAGACGTAGCCTCACACTTAAAAAATATATATGAGATGTACTTTCTGCACTGCCTTTGAAAGTTTTCAGTATGAAATGAATTCTTACAACGTTTGGTGGGAATGATGCTGAGTTGCGATAATTTTAGGCACGTTATAAATCACTGGGCCTTAAGGCGTGCGCGTGGTCGCAAATGATGGAGCTCGTCATATCCACACCCACACGCGGCAGGTGCTGGTGTTTGACTTCGGCAGCGAGGTGTACGTGTGGTGTGGGCGTGAGGTTCCATCTGCGGCACGTGCCGTGGCCTTCCAGCTCGCCAAACAGCTCTGGAACGGCACCTTCGACTACACCAACTGCGACATCAACCCCCTGGATCCGGGGGAGTGCAATAGCCTCATCCCACGGTGGGCCACGCCGATGCTCGACCATCTCTCCAAAAGCCAGTCCTTGTGTCGCACTTCCGAACTGTGGATCGTTTATTTACAGCTCGGTGGCCGCGCATTCATTATTTTAGAGCTGGTGTAATTGCCTGTCACATTTCGATTTAAAGCTTTCGTGACTGCAAGGATTCATCTTCTTTGGTTCTTTCGGTAAAGTCACGTAGAATGAGAATAAAATAATAAATTGATAAAATAAAATAACACAATAATATTCTCACGACGTTTCGGCCACAACACAAGCGGCCTTCATCAGCGCTGTCCTACCAGACAGTCTCGTCCCTTCACCTGATGAAGGCCGCTTGTGTTGTGGCCGAAACGTCGTGAGAATATTATTGTGTTATTTTATTTTATCAATTTATTATTTTATTCTCATTCTACGTGACTTTACCGAAAGAACCAAAGAAGATGCCTGTCACATGACGGGTTCATTAAATTGGTATTTAAAGATTGTATTGAATTCATTCAAATATTTCGCTGTATATCATATTTCGTGTAAATTGTGCTGTTGAATCAGCACTTTGATGTTGGTTGGATTTTTGCATCTTGACAAAGCAACACAAAGTTGTCCATGGGAAAAAAAAAACAGGTTCGTTGAGATGAAGTCCAACATACTCAAAAGTGTGTCCTTGTAACTTATGACAGTGATAGAAATTCCAGGAATGATTGTAAACTGTCTTCGCTTCAGAATAATGGTAAGTTCACATTAGACGTTGCCCCGATCAATTCTCGAAATGAAGACAAAATCTCCACGATTGATTCTGCAATTAGTTCAGCCACGAAATTCCGGTGCATTTCACGAATCACCAGTTGCGTGCCATTGCATAATCATTTTTTTGGGGTTGAGATTTCGAATCCGCATTACAATGGTTCTTTTTTTCAAAACCAATTTATGAGATGGTATTCCAGAAGGTGTTAGCGTGGTGCAGACATTCTACTGGATAATTTGTGACATCACTCGGATTCAAGTAATTACCCAGCATTTCACACACCGTGCAGAGAGTCAGGCATTAGGCACAGATCACTAAAACTATATGTATAATGAGTTTGTGAGCGAACTTGGGGGTTCACGTGTGCACAGCGATGGATGTGAAGACTTATTCAGGGTACATTCCCTTTTATTCCCCAACTCCAACTTGAAATCTGTACACGGGAGAATACCACACTCAGCTCTCAGCCCACGTGTCACAGCACATGCGTGTTCGCCGTCGCTCCCTCCAGGAACCCGATGGCTTCACGCCAGCACAGGGGTGGGGCTACGGCTCGCGCATGCCTGCAGGGGGGGGCAGGGCCTCAGCATTGCATTGCCTATGCAAGTCAAATACTTATGAGGCCTGACCAGCAATCTTACCTATGGATGTAATTTATTGCACCCTGATGTGAATTTTTTGTGGTGGGGGGGGGGGCAGGGGGCTTATCTCAGACCCCCTACTTAACACTGTGCCATACTTACATTCAACTTGTGAGCCAAAGTAGTCACATCAGTATTAAGAAACTTGTCCTTTGTTTAAACTGCTGTGCTGGGAGATCAGAACGGTGTCCTCTGCATTGCATGTCCAGTGTGCTAACCATTACAATATGACAGCAATTAATTCGCACATTTCTGTCCGCTGTTGTGCAGGAAGGGTCGCGGCCGTCCCGATTGGGCCATATTTGGCCGCCTGATCCAGCATAGCGAGACCATCCTCTTCAAGCAGAAGTTCCTCGACTGGTTTGATGCAGTGCCCTCGGGTGGACCTCCTCGTGATCCTGACAGGGTGAGCCTTGATCACCTTTGCTCCTCCCCTGCATATTTCCTGCCCTACCATCCATGTAGTAGTGAGCACAGTACACTATGACTCCCATAAACCTGCAATTAATTCCCAGCTATGGATAAATTCAGTGGCAAATGATATGTAAACCTGTTTTCGGCATGCCTAAGCCTTAAATTATCACCAAGCGTGGTAATTACGAACAGTACTTGGAAGACAAAGGTGACCAGATATGGTGCTGACCACAAAATCTTCTTGTTTTCCATGCCAATCTAAATACGTGCTGTTGAACATCAATTGCTTCAACAGTCTTTATGGCTACATGGGGGTATTTGTGGTAGTAGTCGTACTCTCTCACGTGGAGCACTCATGATTTGTGCACTGTGCCACGATCACGATTACCTGGGTTCAATTCCAGGCCATGCACGACGCCTTTGCCCATAGCTTGGGCCTCCCATAGGTTGACTCAACCTAAAATGGCGACCTATCATGATATATGCGAAAAAATCTGCATCGAGCGTAGGTAGTTGGGCATGTGCGATTATGACGACACGATCTTACCTCGTCATGTGCCGCAACGTTCTTAATGGGTGCTCACTAACAGCACTTGCCCGAACATTCAAAATGAGCAACGTCCATCTCTTGACGCCCGTATTGATTTAGAGTATTTGGCTGCCGTACATTTGTAGTGTGTTGCAGAGGGACGCACACACTCTAAGTTGGAGGCAACACGTTTAATAAACAGCTCCGTAACACTCCGGGTTCTCCAACTAGGTGTGGCTATCGACCGCTATGTGCGTGTGAGCTTAAGCTGTACGAACGGGGTCAGGTAGCACACATGCCACCTGACCCACGAATCTCAGCTAAACTACACGACGAACGAGGAGCAGGCAGCGAAGAGCGAAGTCCTCTCCCCAAAAACGATCCCCGAATCCCCTCGGCGCTCCCCCTTCATTTTCCAAGCCGCGGCCTCGCTCCCCCCTCGGCCGCGTCATCGGCCACGCCTCCTGCTGTATCAAGCCCGGGCTCCCGGCCTCCGGTCACGTGTCCCTTAAGCCTCCAATGGAGGCTCACGACGCTCAGCGGCACTCCAGAACCCGAGGCTGGCGCAACAGCACAGTGACCCTTATTTGCGTCACTACGCATTTCTACGTGATGGGCCACTTCGTTGAGCTGTAATTTGTGGCCAGGTCGCTTCTGAAAAAGAGCTATACAGCTCAGTGGGCCTTACCTGGTAAAAAGTAAATAAATATAGAAATTATGTGATTTCGACGAGGCCATATGAAGGCTTCTGATTGGTGCGTTCCTTCCAGGGTGACACCCAGCCGCCCGAGCTGCACCCGTGCGACATTCGCCTGATGCTCATCGAGCCCTCCGAGTCCCAGGACCCGGCGGGTGCCGCAGAGGCCCCTCTGGAGGGGCTAGGACCCGGCAGGGGGGCGCGGGGCGCCATGGGCGGCCGTGACATTGCCACAGCCGGCGTGGACGTGTGGCACATCCTGGACTGCGACTACAGCCGCGTACCTCAGTCGAGCGTGGGCCAGTTCCACGAGGGTGACACCTATGTGCTGAAGTGGAGATACGTGCTGCTCGGCACGGGTGAGGGCACGGCTTTGTGTGCTAAACACCGGGTGTGTAACGACGCGTCAATTCGTCCACTGAAACCCCCCATCCCTTCTGCTCACGGTGCATGCTCGGAATCGTGGCGCGCGTGCAATAAGAAGGCGCGTAACAATGTGGCGGCTGGATTGTTTGCAATTCGTGCGGATGCTTTGTGAACATTCACTTCAGGGCAAAATAGCGAATGAACGGGTACAAACTAGATGGTCAAAATGAGAAACAGCGAATGTGACACAAATAGCACCAACTGTTGAAGCGTACGACTCTGAATCGTTACATTTAATTGAATTTCTGGAGGAGTGGATTGTTACATACCCACTTTACATATGGTCTACTTCTAGGATGCATTATGATTCTATCATAACCCCATCTGCATTGGAGCTTTTATGTAAATAAGTCTATTTTACCTCTGAATTGCTCCATCTATATAATGCATCTATAAATCTACCATATTCATACTACTACAATGTTACCATAAATGTGTTCAATGGTAATTTGCACCATATAATTGGGTCAGAGGTGCAGTGGTGACCATATGCTATAAGCTCACTGACCTGAGTTCGAAACCTCGTCACAGCTAAAATCAGTGGTGACCGATATATCTGAACTGGTCCTCAGCTCTAACCACTTTCTCCCCACGAACCTACACTGACCAGCATGGTGAAGACTGATCAAACAACTATCATCACCGACTTGTGTTGGAGGCCTTCATGCAGCAGTGGGTTGATAAAAGTGTGAATATTATTTAATTATTAATGAATAAAATAACTATTATAATTGCACCATACCTCTCATAGAGCATACTTACTCAGTATGCCTAATACATATTTCACACATACAGTGTGGGAAAAAAAGTATTTGATCCCCTGCTGATTTTGTACGTTTGCCCACTGACAACGAAATGATCAGTCTATAATTTTAATGTTAGGTTTATTTGAACAGTGAGAGACAGAATAACAACAACAAAATCCAGAAAAACGCATGTCAAAAATGTTATAAATTGATTTGCATTTTTAATGAGGGAAATAAATATTTGACCCCCTCTCAATCAGAAAGATTTCTGGCTCCCAGGTATTTTTTATACAGGTAACGAGCTGAGATTAGGAGCACACTCTTAAAGGGAGTGCTCCTAATCTCAGCTTGTTACCTGTATAAAAGACACCTGTCCACAGAAGCAATCAATCAATCAGATTCCAAACTCTCCACCATGGCCAAGACCAAAGAGCTCTCCAAGGATGTCAGGGACAAGATTGTAGACATACACAAGGCTGGAATGGGCTACAAGACCATTGCCAAGCAGCTTGGTGAGAAGGTGACAACAGTTGGTGCGATTATTCGCAAATGGAAGAAACACAAAAGAACTGTCAATCTCCCTCGGCCTGGGGCTCCATGCAAGATCTCACCTCGTGGAGTTGCAATGATCATGTGAACGGTGAGGAATCAGCCCAGAACTACACGGGAGGGTCTTGTCAATGATCTCAAGGCAGCTGGGACCATAGTCACCAAGAAAACAATTGGTAGCACACTACGCCGTGAAGGACTGAAATCCTGCAGCGCCCGCAAGGTCCCCCTGCTCAAGAAAGCACATATACATGCCCGTCTGAAGTTTGCCAATTAACATCTGAATGATTCAGAGGACAACTGGGTGAAAATGTTGTGGTCAGATGAGACTAAAATGGAGCTCTTTGGCATCAACTCAACTCGCCGTGTTTGGAGGAGGAGGAATGCTGCCTATGACCCCAAGAACACCATCCCCACTGTCAAACATGGAGGTGGAAACATTATGCTTTGGGGGTCTTTTTCTGCTAAGGGGACAGGACAACTTCACCGCATCAAAGGGACGATGGACGGGGCCATGTACCGTCAAATCTTGGGTGAGAACCTCCTTCTCTCAGCCAGGGCATTGAAAATGGGTCGTGGATGGGTATTCCAGCATGACAATGACCCAAAACACACGGCCAAGGCAACAAAGGAGTGGCTCAAGAAGAAGCACATTAAGGTCCTGGAGTGGCCTAGCCAGTCTCCAGACCTTAATACCATAGAAAATCTGTGGAGGGAGCTGAAGGTTCGAGTTGCCAAAGGTCAGCCTCGAAAATTTAATGACTTAGAGAAGATCTGCTAAGAGGAGTGGGACAAAATCCCTCCTGAGATGTGTGCAAACCTGGTGGCCAACTACAAGAAACGTCTGACCTCTGTGATTGCCAACAAGGGTTTTGCCATCAAGTACTAAGTCATGTTTTGCAGAGGGGTCAAATACTTATTTCCCTCATTAAAATGCAAATCAATTTATAACATTTTTGACATGCGTTTTTCTGGATTTTTTTTGTTATTCTGTCTCTCACTGTTGAAATAAACCTACCATTAAAATTATTGATTGATAATTTCTTTGTCAGTGGGCAAATGTACAAAACCAGCAGGGGATCAAATACTTTTTTCCCTCACTGTATCTATAATTTATCACATGGGCGCAAGTGTGTCAGCTTCATCATCATCTTACTTCATCAAGTTCAATCCAACACCCATCAAACACAGATACGCTTCCAGTCCTGTACTTTATGACGATGTCTTGCTTAGAGAAGAGACTGAATGTGCAACAGGCACAGATTATTATAAATCGATGTCTTAAGTTATTTTAGCCACTCAAACGTGCCGGTTGTTGCTGGCTGCTGAATTTCTTTGATTGCCACCGCTACGGCGGTGAGATGTTTACTACCTCGCCTGGTATACAGGAGGGTCGTGGGTTCGATCCCAACCCTGATGCCTGTATATTTGGAGTTTACATGTTCTCCTCGTGATCGCATTGATTTTTCTCCGGGTCCACCAGTTATTCCCTCATTTAGAAACACGCGTTTAGAGTATTTGGCTGCTACAAATTTACACGTGATACGCCACCTCGTTGAGCTATCATTTTTGGCCAGGTCCCTTCCGAAAAAAGAGCTATACAGCTCAGTGGGCCTTACCTGGTAAAATTAGTTTTAAATAAATTTTGATTTAAAGCTTTCGTGACTGCAGTAATTCATATTCTTAGGTCTTTCGGTAAAGTCACGTTAAAGGGAAACAGTAAAATAATAAAATATATAAACACCGTTTAAAAATGAATAAATAAATGCAAACCGCCACTTCTTTCAAATGTTTCTTGCCGTTGTTTTCACACCTGATGATGACTGTTTGTGTTATGGTCGAAACGTCGTGAGAATTTTTATTGTTTTATATATATTTTATTATTTTATTGTTTCCCTTCAACGTGACTTTACCGAAAGAGCTAAGAATATAGTTTTAAATAGTTTAATATGGTCTCGATGGGCAGCGGTTGACTTACGCGCCCCAGCGTTTACTCCGCTTCGCAGTCGCAGGTGGAACCGTGTTTTATGCTTCCCAGCAGGAGCGATCGCAGCTCTGCCCGCGCGTGTTCTCTGCGCGGGGAAGTTTCCGCTCGCGCCGTGTGCTTGTTTTAACGCGGCCAACGATCGTGTTCCTGTGGTGGGCGGTGCTCATGTCCGCCGGGGGACGCGCAGACTCCCGCGGACGCGGCCCCGCGGCCGGCATGGAGCGCTGCGCCTACTTCTTCTGGCAGGGCCGGCACTCGACGGTGGACGAGAAGGGAACGACGGCACTCATGGCGGTGGAGCTGGGGGAAGACCGGGGACCCCAGGTCGCTCCTCCTCAACTTTAATCATTGTCACTGTCAGCAATAAGAACAATCGTAGCAATGGTAGAGCCACGGGATTCTTTTTTTTTGTGAGAGTACTGCAATGGGATATTTGGCCAATTTTATCAATACAGTGTTTGTGAAATGAATCAAGGGTACTCGGCGGGGGGAAAAAAAATTAACAAATACAACATGACAACACTTAAAGCTCCACACAGATGGATTCAAGAATCCATGACTGTACTGCCAACTCCTGGCCATCTGACAGCCTAAGCCTGCAATGCTTGATATCTACAGGCATTTTCTTTTCATTCACCTATGATACCACACTCCATCTTCCTCAACTAATAAGATCTGACTACACCGAGCACATTCAGGGTGATTTGGCCATAGGTTAGATATCACTGTCATTATATCTCTTGACAGGGCCACAATGCTAAAACAATGACCCATGTGCGGGTTTGGGGCGTGAGGAGTGCTGGTACAATGGTCAGCGCAATGCATTATTACTGATCTAATAATCGACTTGAGTTTGAGAACTTGTCCTGCGCTTCCCCTAAGTGAACTCAGCCTTAAATGAGCACCTTGTGGGGTGTGTAAATAGCAACACTAGGGAGACAATGCTGGTTGGGTGTGATTCAGACCACACCATTCCTTCACGTGCCTTGCTGAACCTTCATATAATTTTGGCAGGAGTTACCTCAACAGTCTGAATGGATACATGAGGGATCTTTGTCCATTGTTTTTTGTGTGTTTTGTAGGTTCCAGTGACCCAAGGCAGAGAACCTCCTTCTTTCCTGCAGCTCTTCCAGGGTGGGATGACTGTGCATGCTGGTCGGAGAGAAGAGGAGGAAGCTGGGACCCAGGGTCAGCGGCATTATTTACTCACACTGCTATGCGTGCACCTACATCCACACTCACATGCATGGAGTGCCTACATTTATCTGCTTACCTCTATCTCCTCCGTGAAGCAAAAAAGGGAAATCACGTGTGCATTTTAGGCTCAGCATGTCTAAGGTGTGCCTGTGTTGAAATGACCTGGAATGTGTACCTGATCCTGTCAGACCTTGGTAGCTAAGTATGGTCGAGTCTGGAAAGTGCTTGCGTGAGTGACCACTATGCATAAAACAGGGGACAGACACTTATGTGGAGCTATGTTCTGGGCAACAGAAACATCCATTGTTGTACATTACTGTACTACATTACCAAGTGTGCTGTAACTGCCTCCAACCAACCCCCACGACCCACACAACTTGGAGAGGTCATCATCCAACAGTAAATTCATAAAAAGGGGGATTGTTATTTATTTATTATTATTTTAATATTCCACCATGATTCTTCTCTAGTTTCTGTAGTTTTTTTGCATACTGACGTCATACCTCCCTTACATTGAATAAATTTCTGTAAGTCACTCTTCACATGGGCGTGAGTGTCATTATCATTAGCATACTTACTTTTGAATAAATATTACCACAGGTATGTACATCGTGGCTTTGTGAAGTATGGGCAAACATTCTGAATGACTGACCGGCATAGAGAGGCCTTGATCCTGCAGAGGATTCGCAAAAGGGCTGAAAATTCGTTTGTGCTTGCCACAAATGATCCGCAATATCTTGCTGATCTTGTCAAGGAGCATAAACCTTCACGCGAACTCTGGTCATCCTCGTAGCGGCTTTTGGCTAGCCATCAAACAAAGACGGTCACTGCATCGCGCGTTTTCACATGCACTTCTGTGGCCGTCTGGAACGCTCTTCCTTCCAATATTAGGAAGCCACTGGAGCTACGCACTTTTAAATCTCGATTGAAAACTCATTTCTATACAACTTATTTTCTGTGTGTTATTTTGTTTTCCTTCCCCCGCACCTCCATACATGTATAATCGTTATTTTAATTAGTTGCACCATAATCACCACAGATGGCATGCGCACGTGTCTGTGTTAGGTGACTGGCGGCTATACTGCGTCCGGGGCGAGGTACCGCTGGAGGCGCACCTGCTGGAGGTGGCGTGCCACGTGAGCAGCCTGCGCTCGCGAGCCCACATGCTGCTGCTCAACGTGCACCAGGCGTCCATCCTGCTGTGGCACGGCTGCAAGGCTCAGCCATCTGGCCGGCCCGTGGCAAAGCAGGCAGCCAAACGCATCGGCGAGCTGTGAGTGCTTGTGTGTGCTGCGTGCGTTTGTGTGGAGCACCGCGGTGGCGAGATGTTAACTACCTCACCTGGTATGGAGGAGGCCTGATATCTCTATATTTGGAGTTTGCATGTTCTCTCTGTGGTCGTGTGGATCTTTATCTGGGTCCTGTGGTTTTTCCCTCCACATTTAGAAACATGTGTTTCGTGGATTTGGCTGCTATAAATTTCCACATGATAAGCCACTTCATTACGCTATAATTTGTCGCCAGGTCGCTTTTGAAAAAAAACTATATTGCTCAGTGAGCCTTACCTTGTAAAATAAAAAGTGTATTAGTGTGTGCACGTGTACTGATGTTTGCTCTGAGCAGGTATCAAACCCGGCGATCAGAGTTTGATTCCCGCTCACAGCCAATATCGGTGACGAATATCTGAACCCGTCTTGGGTCTCCCCTATATTGACTCCGCCTTAAGTGAGTCCCTGGTGTGTTGTATTAAACAACAGCAATTGCCATGGTGTAGCAACAGCACCATCTCATGTGCTGTGTTGACCTTCATAGGTGCTCGCGAACAATTCCTTTGACTGCCTGTGTAGCCTATATGAGATGTGTTTGTTTGTTTGGTGGTGAGCGGTAGTGTAGTGGTTAGAGAACTGCGCTTTGAACCCAGAAACCCCAGTTCGATACCCAGCCATAGCTAACATAAGTGATGATTATCTGAATTAGTCCTGGGCCTGGATCAGTGCCCAGGTTAGCTCAGCCTTAAATTAGTGCTAGGAGCAGTATGGAATACATCAGAACGGGTGAGATAAATGCGGTCCGGCATTAAGCTGGTCACACAACCTTCATAGGTCCTCAATAACAAGACTTGCCCCAACAACCTGTATAGGTTACATGGGGTATGTATGTCTTTGCATACATGTATGTATATGACAAATGATCCCTGTATATCCTTTAACAAACTGTTAAGGCAAGTGCCTTCAGCAAGCAGCTATTAACGCTGGCATGGCGTCGAGAGGGTGGTATGGTATGGTCAACATTGTCAGTGGAAAAACAAAGGTAGCCATTTTCAAGTTTCAAGTTTCATTTATTAGGTATAACCCTGTGAGCCACGCGGCTCTTAATGTCGGGTGCAACCGCAACAAACAAAATATGAATCTACATTGCAGAAAACTATTACACCACAACCAGACCAAAATAAAGCTACAAAAACAATGTAACAACAGTAATCATAGGAACTGTGATTTTAAATTTAACAATAAACGATATACATAACACGTACGACAAAACCTGCAGCCATAGCTGGCAGCACGACACTCCCAGTGTATGGTGTGTGAGTGAGTCAGCAGCAGCGTGAGTGAGTGTATGATGTGCGAGTCAGCGTATGATGATTGAGTCAGTATAAGGTTGAGTGAGTGTATGATGTGAGTCAGCGCACGATGTGTTAGTCAGCGCATGATGAGTGAGTCAGTGTATGATGTGCGAGTGAGCCAGCAAACAATGAGTGAACCTGTGTATGATGAGTGAATGGGTCAGTGGTTGTGCGAGTGTATGATGTGTGAGTGAGTAAGCGCATGATGAGCGAGTCAGTGCATGATGTGTGAGTGAGTCAGTGCATAGTGTGAGTAAGTCAGTGTATGATGTGTGAGTGAGTCAGTGTATGATGTGTGAGTGAGTCAGTGTATGGTGTGTGAGTCAGTGCATGATGTGTGAGTGAGTCAGTGCATGATGTGTGATTGAGTCAGTGTATGATGTATGAGAAAGTCAGTGTCGGCTCCCTCTGCCCGCGCCATCGCCCCCCCCCCCGGCTCCGTCGCCCCCCCTGGCTCCGTCGCCCCCCCCCCCCAGCTCCGTCAGCCCCCTCCTGGCTCCGTCGCCCCCCCCCCCCGGCTCCGCCCCCTGCCCCCCCCGGCTCCGTCCACCCCCCCCCCATGGATTCGTGATAGAGGCCTCATTAAACCCTCCTGTAGAATGACAGCTTTAGTAGGTAGGTGCTTGATAATAAATGGCACCTGTTCTGACAGTTAATATTATTTAATGCTAAATGACAATAGCAATGTATTTTTCTGTATGTATGTGTATCCACAATATTATCAGCCTTGACATATTCCCTCCCTTGGCTGCCACTCTATCATTAGTCTCAACCACCATCCATTATCTCCTTTAGCGACAAGTCTTGCACAAGCTCACTCACTAGATTGCATATGTCCTCTAATCCATGTGTTTCTCTCTCTCTCTGTCTCTCAATGTATATGCAAGCGTGCATATTTTCATCTTTTGTTCCATTTTCTTCCTCGACGTTCCCATGTTTCTCATCCGCGTGGCATTGCTAACCTTGTCGACCTCATTGCAGCTGACCCTAACGTAGCTGCCACTGGTGGTGTGTGCGTGCAGGTGCCCGCTGGAGGCAGGGCTGCACAGCAGCAGTCGCCTGAACATTGAGGAGTGTGAGGAGGGGGCTGAGCCCACGGCATTCTGGGATGCGCTTGGGCGCCGCAACCGCAAGGCATACGACTGCATGCTGCAGGGTGTGTGGCGCACGACCCTACGCCCCATTCGTCTACCTGCGCCCCCACAACCTTACCTAAACTAAACTATTTTTTATTTTACCAAGTAAGGCCCACTGAGCTATGTAGTGCTTTTTCAGAAGCGACCTGGCTACAAATGATAGCTCAACCAAGTGGCTTATCATGCGGAAAGTTACAGCAGCCAAATACTCTAAATGCATGTTTCTAAATGATGTGGAGGGAAAAACCCGGAGGACCCGGAGAAAAAATCCATGCAACCACTTGGACAGAGACGTGCAAACTCCAAATATACGGTCGTCAGGGTTGGAATCGAACCGACGACCTCCTGCATACCAGGCGAAGTAGTTAACATCTTGCCACCACGGCGCCCGGTGGCGTAGCATGATTGGCATGGGCTCTCACTCAAGGAATTAAATGGAGCCCCCTGTCCAATGTCCCACACTTTGTAGGCCAGTTCCTGGATCCTGCATGGCCCCTGGAGCAGTTGCACGTCCTGCACACTTGATAGCTACGCCACTGCTTGCGAGTCATCCTTGTGTAATGACGACTTGACACACTTCTCTTAAGATGGCACTGTAATGAAGACACGTGCACTTGACATCAGGCGGAGATCCCCACTGCAACAGCCCCGAGTCTCCCGCGCATCTCCCTTATTTATCAACACGAGGCCACGCCCCCTTTCTAGATCATTCTCCCTGACTCTGGACGCTGGCTCTACCGGCAGACTCCACCGTCCTCTTCCGTCACCTGACCACGCTTCCTTCTCGAACATTCCCGTAGCCACCAGTCCCTTCCCACTCACACTGATACACATGTCATTACCTCCCGTGGCCACTAGTGCATTCGTATTGCAGGCTGACCCCTCACATCGCATGCAGGCTCTATTGACATTACACTTTCACATTCATCCTTCATTTCTGTTTACAAGTGCATCCCTTTCTATCATCTTCTCTCTCTCTCTCTGCATCCCAAAGTACTTGCTGTGTTGTATTCTTGTTCATGTCTGTGGTGGTTGTTGTGGCCATCCATATCTTTATCTACCTGTGTCTCAGCCTTTTTCAATCAGTGTCAATGTATGCTTCTCAAATATGTTCATGCTTGTATGCATGTGTACTGTATGTTTATGTGTGTGTATCCCGTTGTATTTGTGTGTGTGTGGGGAGTGGTGGTATAATTTTTAAAGTGCTGCTCTACGTACCCCACAACCCAAGTTAATGTCCCGGCTAGAGCTACTATCATTGTCAAGTGATATCCGAACTAGTGCTTCGCCAAGGTGAACAAGCCATACAATAACTACCTGGTCCACTGTGTAAATATCGGCACTGGGGAGATGAATGAGGCCCGGCGTGGTGTTCTCCAAACCGACTCCCTGCCTTGTGCCGGCCTTAATAGATGCTCTCTCGACACGTGGGATCTGTGTGCGCGTGTCTGTGTGTGCAGACCCAGGCAGGTTTAACTTCACCCCGCGGTTGTTCGGCCTGGAGGTGTCGTGTGGCCGTCTGGTGGCACGGGAGCGGCTGTACGCGGCGCGCATTCCCGGAGCCGTTTGCTCCACCCCCTTCCTGCAGGACGAGCTGTACAGCGGCAGCCAGCCAGGTGTGTGCGTGCGTTTGTGAACAACATTAGCCGATTGTGTGTCCATCCCAAGTCAGCCAGGCCTATGTGTGTACATCAGCACCGCTTAGTCGTGTATATCTCCCAGCTAAGCTACGCGTGTGTATCTACGGTACGAGTCATTGGCGCTTTGCACTGGGTTGAATATGAATAATTAATTGGATGCTTACCACGTTTTTTATTTTGGTCTGGATAAATGTGAGCGTGCTGCGCTATGAACCTGGAAACTTGAGTTTGATTCCCAACCGCTGCTAATAGCAGTGGTGAGTGATATCTGAACTTGTCCTGAGCCTCTTCGAAGTCGACTCAAACTTAAATTAGTACCTAATGCGATATATAATCAAGTGGTACTGAGGAGACAAAGATGGCTGGGTGTGGTAGTGGCCACACGTTTCAAGTTTCAACATCAACTCATGTGCCCTATCCATCCTTAACAGGTGCTCTCTAACACCACTTGCCCAAACAGTATATATGGTTGCAGTGCATGCTTATCTAGATTGAAAACTAATTTCTTTATAACTGCTTTTTGCGTTTAGTTTTGTTGCTCTTACCCCGCACCTCTGATTAGCACGGTTGGCTACGTACGGTGAACAATACTTTCCACAACAGTCTCTATGGCTATAAGTTGGCATTCTTATCTCTGTGTGTGAGTGCAGCCCTGTTCGTGGTGGACAATCACCAGGAGGTGTACCTGTGGCAGGGCTGGTGGCCCAACGGGGGTGACCCCCACTCAAACTCTCTGTCTCGCCATCTGTGGCACCAGGCCCGCCGAGCTGCCATGCAGACTGTCCTGAGCTACTGCACAGGTGCGCGCGTGTGCAGGGCGACGTGCTGAGCATGTGCCCCACGTGGCCTTTTATAATTGTGCATTCATATGGTGATCACATGTCTCAGCATCTCAAAGCACCTTACATGACATCTCATCTCAGCCATTCAAAGGGGACCCCCAATGGCAGCTGTCCCTGTGCGGCACAATGTGACGCAGTGCCTGCCTGCAAATGGGTATTAGTCTGCCAGTAGGGGACAATAATTCCGGTGTGTGTTTCCAAGTAACTAAAATCAGGTAGCAACAGACAACATTGATTATTGTACATCATATAAGAATTAACCCGTTGTTTTTAAATTGAGCCAAAGACATAGGAACACAGAAAAAGAGATGATGATAGGGAGTTGCAAAGCCAGCAAGAGTACAAAACGTGAGAACCATTTTTTTTTATATTGATGAAGGTTATAAGAATCCTGCTTAGAGAGGACACAAGATAGTTCCAAAGCCAATAACAGACAGCTTGGATTATAGCACACAGTGCTTCATTTTAAACAGAACAGTCCAAAACGCTGTTTCAGGACATTATTTTGAACTTGCCTTTTGCCCGTCCAATGACGGGTGTATTGCAGTAAATCTGAAACTTGCAAGCAAAACGCAGACCGCGACGTGATATATTTATTGCATCCATTCGTGTGCAATTTGTAAGGTCGTGAAGACACAGACTTATTTCATTTAAAGGGTTATAAGCCCTTGTTCATCATAACGTCCTTTTTACTTCTATGTCTCAACAGCGTTACAGAGATCACGTGACATGAGGGTTCTGCCTTTGTAGTGAGGGTTGTAAGTTGACGCTGAGGAGGGGGGAGGAGGCGCCTCGCCCCCCCCATGTGGAGTGACGTCACCCTCTAATTATTATTAATGGAGGGGGATTCCATTTGGAGGACGTCACCTGCTCATGATTATTAATGAGGGGGGCTATTTGATGTGGAGTGACGTCACATGCTCATGATTATTAATGAGGGGGGGGGGGTTCTTCTTGTGGAGTGAGTCACCCGCTCATGACTATTAATGAGAGGGGGTCCATGTGGAGGACGTCACCTGTTTATGATTATTAATGAGGGGGGCTGGTAGATGTGGAGTGACGTTACGCGCGGGACACACAGACATTCTTGGCTCATTGTCGTAAATAATTTTAATGAAAACCGCACTGACAATATGGTGAATCCATTGATGAATGTCCTTTTATAAACCTGTTCAAAAGATTATAACAGTATAAGGTGCAATAATCTAGCATTATTATGTATGAAAATATTTTCATAATCTAGTGGTCGTACCTCATGCCAATAATCGTGAACTTCAAGCCAGCATATCAGCAGTCTGGATTTTTTTGTTGTAAGAAATTAAGTTATGATAGTTCAATAGATACGATTGAACAGGTTTTCTTCCATTGACCAAGGGTATAGCAATGTGGGAAAAATAAACAATGGAGATTACAAAGTAAAGTGGCACGAGGTAAAAAGGATGAAGAAAAATGTCATAGCCTACAATGTGATGGTTAAACAAACTATGCAGTGAGGAAATGTTCATTTTGATAGAAAAAATTCCTTGACATTGGCAGAGTATCACATATTTTTTGTCCTTTCTCTGCACCTCCAATTAGCACGGTTGGCAATGTAGGGTGTGAAAGAAGTTCAACATACTTACATACATTGACTGTGGTAGTCGTGATACAAGAGTGATGCGCAGGTGAGTCAGCAATATTGAGAGAGTGATTGCAATTAATCATTGAGCACAGTAGCATCAATCAACTGAACTTATGCACGTTGCATTGTATGAAGCAGAGACAGGTACGAACCCGTGGCACCAACCGTGGTAGGAAGTGGGAGCATGTGTTACCAACTCACACTAGACGGCGTACGTACACATTCATCATTCGTTGCACTTGGAAGTGAATAACTAACTAGCACGTATCGTTATCTTTATGTATATAATAGCAATATCATGATTTATGTATATAATGGCAATATCATGATTTATGTATATAATAGCAATATCAGGATTTATGTATATAATAGCAATATCATGATTTATGTATATAATAGCAATATCATGATTTATGTATATAATAGCAATATCATGATTTATGTATATAATGGTAATATCAGGATTTATGTATATAATAGCAATATCAGGATTTATCTATATAATCGCAATATCATGATTTATGTATATAATAGCAATATCAGGATTTATGTATATAATAGCAACATCAGGATTTATGTCTATAATAGCAATATAATCATTTATGTATATAATAGAAATTTCAAGATTTATGTATATAATAGCAATATCAGGATTTATGTATATAATAGCAATATCAGGATTTATGTATATAATATCAATATCAGGATTTATGTATATAATCGCAATATCATGATTTATGTATATAATAGCAATATCATGATGTATGCTCTCTGTTCTATGCCTTGCAATGATTAAGGGTCACAATTCGATTCAAGATTTATTTTCCTGCCTCTTTATCTTGTTAAAAAATCGAATACTGCCTTGTTTGCATTCTCTCTTGTAAAAAAGAAAATATGTTCTACCTAATTTAGTCCTTTATCCTAAATATTTAATTTAGTATATAATTTGTGTAAATCATAAACCATTGAGTTTTACAAGTGCGATTCTTTGCATGTATCGTGAGAGCTCAAATCTAATTTAATTGATGAACTGAAAAATTGTTATATCCCTACTATACGTTATTATTATTATTGTTGTTGTCTATGAAGCCTAATGACTTTTTCAGTAGGCCCCTTGCCAAATTTTCTCAGGAGGAGGTGATGTTGCTATGTGTAATCTAAATTGAGTTTGTGTGTGTTTGTGTGTGTGTGCAATGCCATGTATGGATGTAGCGAAGTCCCCAAGCCACCCCCCCAAGGCATACCTGATCCACGCCGGTCTGGAGCCCCTCACCTTCACCAATGTGTTTCCTTCCTGGGAACATCGGCAGGATGTCGCTGAAATCAGTGAGAAGGCAAGCCCTGCACCACCATCTCAACCCACCATCGCACTGCCTGACGCACGCTTTTGGTCCAAATGTAATATTGAAGTTGCCTGTGTGGCAGCAGTTGACAATGATGACTGCACTGTATTGATGATTCCCAATGAGAAGGAAACCACGATGCAGTTGGGTAATTTTCCTGCTGCTTTATGAAATAATATGGCCACACTTTTGACTCTTTTTGGTTGGTCTGAATCTGTGGGCGCCAAGGTGACGAGATGTTATCTCCCTTGCCTGGTATGCAGGAAGTAATGGTTTCAATCTGACCCTGATGTCATTATATTTGGAGGTTGCATGTTCTCATGATACAAGCCACTTTGATGAACTATTATGTGTGACCAGGTCGAGCTAATAGCTCAGTAGGCTTTACCTTGCAAAATTAAATATTTAGTTTTTACATGCATTATGGTTTTGTCACGTAACATGCAAGGCATAATGGGAGGACCGATCCAGTGGTTATCGCTCTTTTACTGTCGAGGAATCTCGTTGATTATGTATTATTACTCTTATTTGGTAATACCTCATCTCAAATTTCTGCCTGATTAGTTTCCCATTTACAGACTGTATTATAATTGGTTTATTGTAGGGTTATTTGACAACCGGTGAGCCCATACCATTTTCAGAATCGATTACAGGTTATGAAAATCACTAACCGGTAATTGTTTCCAGTGGAACATTAGCAATTAATTCACCTTTACCTTTTAACTGAGAAACGAGGGCAAATATACCACTCGGCAACCTAGGCCACCATGTGAAATTACTTGTTTGCCTGCTGGTGGTGCAAGGGCCTCCATTAGAAAAAAAATGTGGTCCACTCTTCCGCGCTAACCTGATGTCTTGCCAATCGACTCTGGTGTACCCATTTATACTGCTGAGTGAACAGAGGTGGGGGGGGGGGTTAAGAAACTTGGCCCTTTTTTTAACTGATATTAAATAGAGCCATTGACCACTAGGTTGTGCAAGTCCAGCGAAATATCCACGTAAACCATGGCAGCTCCCTTTTTTTCTCAGTTAAAAAGTCAAATATACTTGTTTAAGGCTGTCCAATGCAGTTTTTTTTAAATGCAGTTATTTTAATGCAGTTACCAGAAACGCAGAACAGTTTTTACAACTCTAGTTTATTGTCTCTGCGGTGTTGACTCCCCGTGCATGGCCACAGAATGTGCAGGCAAGCAGCCAGATCACGCTGGTGCAGGATGTGCTGGAGGCTCTGAGCCATCCTGGCACAGCGGGCCGGCCCTTACCTGTGGGGGCCGAGACCCAGCCAGCCACATAGCCCCACAAGCCCGACACAGAGGTGGGTGACCATTGCTGTGTGCAGTAGAGTGAGAGAGACATACATAAAGAGCCTAACAATGAAGAAAGAAATGTTCCGTGTTTTTTGCAGTCCGAATGTGACTTACCCTTTTTTTAAAGGAATGTTTGCCCTATAATCCAGCTCATTGGAGGCAATTGTCAGTCGATGACATGTAATTATTAAACTCTGAAATCTGCTGAGCTATGGGGTTGCCAATACATGTCAGTACAGAAAATGGGTTTGTGAACTCGTTCATGCAGACTTTTGAGCATTATCTCCTTGGATATGTGGTATGTCTTTGGCTAATCTGGTTTCCTCCCACATGTAAAATTTTTAATAAAATAAATTAACCATTCTCATGCAGGATGCTTTTGAAAATGTCTTGAGACTCAGTGAGGCTTTTAAGATAAATATTTGACCTGATTAATTAATGTATGATTGATTGTAAATTTCTTCTTGTACTCCGGTCTTTGTGATCTACCATGGTGTACCTTTTTCACATTTAACAGTCTTCTTAATTAAAATAGAATTAGGTCCTTACACATTAAACCGACCTGACTATTGCTGCATATGAAGACCTGCAGCATAATGGTTCGCGGTGACTGGAGTTTGGGTAGCCCTGAAATAGACGAATAAGAAAGTTTTACAGATGACCTTCAAGGCTTTTTACCTTTAATCTGCATTGTGTACGTGTGCTTGGCAGGTATACGCAGGAATGCCACAGTCAGAGTTTTCTGCCCTGCCACTCTGGAGGCAGCAGGGCTATCGTAAAAGTCTGCCTGCTTACCTGAAGACCCAACAGAGACGAAGTCCTTACCCTGCCTGGACGACTGTGCCTGTTCACACATTGGATCCCAGAGTTTGCACCTAGGTCCCACTGTCATGAAACAAAAATTTTGATGCGTTTAGAGCTGCGGTGATTTGTGTGTGTGTAACTGCGATGGAAGGCTGTTCTGGAGAGTATGTGAACCAGTTTATTGTCAGTGGGCATTTCACCTGTGGTGTTGCTGGCACTGTTATGGTCCTGAAACAATATAGTGAAATTGAACCCATGCCGTAGTTTGTATTTGAATGACATCTACTAGCCTTGTGTATGGGCATGTACACACGAGCACAAATACACTTACATTGATATGTTTGTAAATACATTTTGGGGGAACTACACAATCAACTGTGGATTTGTTCAACCACCAGGATATAGCATTTCAACAATGGGCAGCTTGCTCCTAATTTCTGCAAACGTCATTCTTTACGCACCTGCAGAGCATTGATTTATACGCCATAAGTGAATATCTGCTTTTTCATGGGTAAATGGGATGATAATTTTTTTACCCTAAGTGTGTACTGTTCATTTTATGTGACATTTAGCTTTGCCCATGAATTACTGTGCAGTATCCACCACCTGAAGGACACAGTACCTTGCTGAAAAAAACAATGGCCCCTTGTATGGCCCAATGTGTCTACAATGCTGTATTTTCATTTTGAATATTTAATATTTTTGTGTGGGTTGTTTTTGCTTTGTGTACAGTATTTGTCACAGGGATAGTTCAGTGTTAAACCACAGTGTGTAAGCATGGGTGATTGTTAACCCAGCTGTCATGTACAATAGTTAACAGCTACAAAACTATGACCGCAGGGTTCAGTAGGCATTACCAAGAAATTGAGATTGTTGATCGTCAGCCCCTTATTTGATGGCCTTATGAGCACGAAAACATGGTTGACGTGCGAGTTTTTGAATGTGTTTGCCATTAAGCTGGCATTTAAATGCACTGACTGGTGGGGGCAGTGGCTGTCTTTCTGGCAGTTTAGAAGGCCCAACTTCCCATATTTGAATCTTGACTTAAAGCTTTCGTGACTGCAGGAATTCATATTCTTGGGACTTTCGGTAAAGTCACATAGATAGAAAATAACAAAAACAATTACAAAAACGACGTTTCGATCGCAACACAAGCGTTTTTTTTTTGCTTCCAGATGACGAACGCTTGCGTTGCGATCAAAACGTCGTAGTTTTTTTGTTATTTTCTTTTAACCTATCTACGGGACTTTACCGAAAGACCCAAGAATATGAACTCCCATATTTGGGCAATATAAAGTTAATATCAGTGATGCAAGTTACAATATATACACGATTTATCACGGCTACACACATTGTATATAGTTTAATTTTAGGAACAAATTTGGGACAAATTTAAAAGTGAATAAAATAAAATATTGTTTAGTATGGCCTAGTCAGCTTAAGTAAAGCGTTGCAAGGCTCCCTTTGCAACGTAAATTGCCTTGTACAAAATCACGCACTTACGAAAAAGTAACGATATCATGTAACTTTTTGTTGTGTATAAATCAACACATCTGTACAATAAAATGAGTTGCAGTCAAGTTGATTGTACAGTACTTGAATACGTACTGTCGTTAAGGTTTTAAATATATGGGTGAACATTGTGTAAGTGCACTTGCGTAAAGCATCACAAGGTAGTATGCTTTACACTCTGGCTGGCCTGATGGCTCTTTATGAAATCTAACGTTGAATGTCATACAGTAATTGAAATTCATTTAATTCGCAATGTGGTGCATTCTTAAATTGATCGTACAGTAATTCACTTGCGTATTGAGTACAAGCATTACAAAATGTCCAATCTGTGCAGGACTTACATGAAGCCATTTTAAAGAGGCAACTTGGTGTTAAATTTGGCAATGGACTGCAGTAACGAGTGTTCAGTATGTTTGAAACTCGCAAAATAGACTGGCTTTTTTAGTGTTTTACTCTTTTGCCAATTTGAATACTGTACTGGATCAGCTGAACCCCATTTTAGAACTGTTTTGTAAAACTTGCATTGTGAAAAGGTAAGAAAGGAACTCCTACATTTTAAATACAGCACTGTATTGTCTACTATGTACATGAGTACAATTTTAGAATAGCACATGCAGATTTTGGAAACAGTGTTTGTATAAAAACTGTGCCTTTTATAATTGTAAAGCATAAGACAACTGAACAGCTTTTTTGCATTTTATTTGTAAACTGATTTATCTATGCAAATGACGTCTGTGCATATGTAGTAACGCAAGGTGTGATGTGATGCTTACGAGTGATTAATAAACATGCATGTCAACCCGTCACTGTGTGCATGTCGTGTTGCAAGAGTTGATGACACGTTTAATCATGATGAAGGTTTTTTTTTGGGTTAGATCGCGTAAAAATAAATGTGTCGTTGACTCACCACCACCCGGCACAGCCAATCAGTAAGGTGTGTCACGTTAACAAAACATGCCAATTAGTTACTACTTCAGCACACCGGTGTGTTGGAGAGTAAACCCGCGACATTTACAATGTGTGCCAATACTCTTGAATTTTGACGGCCTTATTCTAGCTCCTGTGGAGGAGGGCTTCTCGGCACCTCGCCCGTCGTCCTCACTGATGTCCTCTTCTTCCCCCCTTGTGTACAGATCCTACTGACTATTGTATGTCGGGTGTTTAGGCACAGGGGTTGGGGGGGGGGTCGCGATCTGCACGAAGTATAAGAAGCAGCGCACTACGATTACTACGCACACACGGGGGTCTACATCTCACACTACATAAACATGGCCCTGTACATTACATACAGGGTGTTTCAAAATAATGCACCCAATTTCAAAGCAGTATATTTCACGATGGCAACATGTTACAATTACACCAAAAGTTACAAACGGTTTAATGGGTTATCGAGTTTTACTATCCATTTTATAAATGCTCTATGTGCCCTCCACCTGCTGTACGGGCAACATCGAGACGATAGTTTAATTCGCCCCAAACTCGTCTCAAAGTGTCTTCTCTTCCACTGAAGTCACCGCTGCCGTGATTCTGTTTTTGAGGTCATCCAGATGAGTCGCTAATGTATGGCACAAAAACACCACGGGTCTTTGGCGTATCCCCACAAGAAAAAGTCGCAGGGTGTGGTGATGTCTGGGGGTGATCTTGGGGGCCAAGAGTGTAGCGCCAAGTCTTGGGGTCCTGTGCGACCTATCCAGCGTTGAGGCAGTGTTGGCTTACGAATGACTGAGGCTAGGGCAGGGGTGGGCAAATTTTTTGACTCGCGGGCCACAATGGGTTCTAAAATTTGACAGAGGGGCCGGGCCAGGAACAGACGGATGCAGTGTTTGTGTGAACTAATATAAATGACATGTAAAAATCATTACATGAAAGGATTTGGCCTTTAACAGGTAGCAAAGCATTTATTTGCAAGGCAATTTAACAAATTGCACGAACATGAACAATACAAAAACATGTCGTAACTCCCGGTCAAAGTGCGCCATCTAATGGGGAAATGGGAGCATTACAGGTGAAAGGTAAAATTGAATAATAATAATAATATTTGGACAAGTTCGGCGGACCGGATTAAAAAGCCCAACGGGCCGTACTTTACCCATGTCTGGGCTAGGGGCTGTTTGTGCCCTGAGAGAGAAGCATCTTGCGGTAATCATTTGAAGCGCCATAGGCTGCTCATGGTTGCAGAGATACAGCAGAGCGATTTCAAATCGGGTCCATCTTTTTAACCACCCTGTATAACAGGGTGCTTCAAAAATGTTAACACGTCTGAGAATTTGCAACAGTACCACAAGAAATGTGCCTCCTGGCTCTTGACTACTGCCGGAAGAAGATTCCAGGCCACGTGTTGACAATGATGACGGACAAGTGGGAGACTCTTTGACTTTTTGAAGCTATTAACATACATTTGTTATCATATTACAATGTATTATCCGTTCTTTTTCCATTAAATAATGATAGTCCCATATAAGTTTAAACACATTTTTTAGCATCATTTCTATCATTTTGGTGATCTGTGCCTAACACCTGACACTAAAGGCTGACCGAAACTGAATTCTGGTTTCGGCCACAACCGAAACCAGACCGAAAGTTAAAAAATTAACTTTCGAACGAAGCCGAAAGTTTAACGACACTTTCGACCGAGACCGAAACAGAAAGGTTTATAACCGAAGTTACCGAACACAAGATTGATGAAATATGTAATGATGCAATGCTACTTTAATGAAAAATAAATCTAGAACTAATCATTCAGAGCCTGCAGTAAGAGTCGCTACATATCAAATCTTTAGGTGTTACTTACTTAGTAATTATATCCAAACAAACGAATGTTGTAGTTAAGAAACAACAGTTTTTCCGCATTCAGCCAGACAGGCTGCCGTCTGTTGACCGGTCGTATCTACATTAGCAGACCATGGGTTGCTGCTGTAACCTCGCTCCCAAGCTGCTGCTGCTGCTGACGTGTGTGTATATGTGTGTACGTGTGTTTGTGTGTACGTGTGTGTGTTTGTGTGTACGTTTGTGTGTGTGTGTGTACATGTGTTTGTGTGCAAAGACTGCCCTAAATGACATCATAACAACAGTCTGGACCACTGGACGGGTTCCGCATCTCACTCCTCAGTGTGCCGGGAAAGGTCCTGGCAAGGATTATTCAACATCGCCTTGCCAGGCACGCTGATGAGAGGCTTGCGGAGCCCCAATGCGGTTTCAGGAAAGGGCGGTCCTGCACAGATGCCATATTTTCTGTCTGTCTGCTACAGCAGAGCTTTAGGGAATTCCAACAAGACCTACATCTCTGCTTTATTGACCTGGTCAAGGCCTATGATACAATCAGTAGGCCTGGGCTCTGGGTTGTTCTTCATGCTTTTGGAGTACCTGACCCTCTGCTCACGATCATTAAGGACCTTCATGATGGTGAGCGGGCCCGGGTAAAACTACGTGGCCGGGAGTCAGAGCCATTCCCTGTACACCTTGGGGTACGACAGGGATGTCCTCTGGCTCCCACATTATTTAACATCTATTTTGACCATGTAGTTCGTGAAGCCTTCAATAGCTGTACCGGGGGAATCTCCATATGGTACATATATAATGGGAGGCTGATCGATGCCTGGGTGCGGTCAAGGGATGGCTCCCTATTGCTCAATCACGTTATGTATGCTGATGATTTGGTAATAGCTGCTCATTCAGAGGAGGAGTTGGAGATGCTGCTGCTGAGACTGGAGTGTGCCACTAGGAGGTGGGGCCTTACCATCAGCCCGACCAAAACTAAGCAGCTGCCTGGGTATTTTGTACCATCGGACACTCCACCCCCACAACTCCCAATCGGTGATGGGGCAGTTGTGGAGAGAGTAGAGAGTTTCCCATACCTGGGCAGTGTGCTTAAGACCGGCTCCAGTTTAACAGCAGAGGTCTCACTCCGAATCAGTCGAGCGGCAATATCTTTTCATCGGTTGCGTAACGCTGTGTGGAAGCTACCTGGTCTGTCGCTCCGCACTAAGCTTCAGGTCTTCTCGGCCACGGTCATTTCCTCCCTTCTCTACGCTTGCGAAACGTGAACCCCCCTAATGGAACATCTTCGCCGGTTAGAAACATTTAGGCTGGCCTGCCTACGATCCATCCTGGGTTTAA